TCCACACTTGCAGCTGCATCTCAGGCATCCAGTGCGGCTACCCCGTCGGTTGGGTCATCACTGCATGGTTTATGCTGTAATCATGACCACGTGTCACCCTCTACCTTGTCACGTGCAGGTGTCGTGGACTAAAGAATGAATGAATCCTGCATCTAAGGAAACCCACTCTCGTCCCGAAACATCAACACCCACCTGAACGATGACGACATGAAGTCGCGAATCCTTTGATCGTGGTTGCGAATCCTAATTTAAGATATTTTCAACTAAACATCAAATGCATGATAACGTCAGTGGGGGGTATCAGCTCCTCAGCTTATCATAACAGAATGCAACAATTAAAATTAATGATGTTATCAAGTACACTCTCCGCATGGGTACAATATGCGAAGCCTCTTTTGTTTCCTAAAAGCGTAATCCGTGAAGATCCGGCTTAACACTGTTTTTCGGCAACCTATACTTAACCTAAAAGACGACTTATAGGTCGAATGGTCAGGCTCACCGACTTGGTTGACACATGTCATCGTATCCCAGGGGCGTAGCTACCATTATAAAAAAAAGCCCGGGCTTACACATGATTTTTGCTATGAAAGTTTGGCAAACCCTCAATACTATGTAAATATGAACCTTTGCAACCTATCGGGCTTATATAACAAAATGGCTTGCTATGCGCCTGTATCCCAACTGCGTAGATCGATGCTCATAATGTTGATCACTGGATTGTCTGGTCCAGTCTCGATTATTTGCAGACCACGTCATACAGCTGGAATATTGCCGAGTGCGGCTAAACAACAAACAAACAAAAAAGCACAAAGCGCCCTCAAGCAAAACGCCAGGTCAGTGCCACGACTTTCCTCTGTGCTAAATTAAAAAGTTAAGCTAAGTTAAGATAGCCGTAACTCTGAAATCGTTTTGTGTTTTGTCTTTCATCTCATTTTTTTATTTCTCTATAGATTTTGGTCAATACTGTATTGGAAATCAAGGTACTGGTTTGTGAAAAAACACAAAAACAAACAACAAAACTGTATCATGTTCATAGTGTGTAACTGACAAAGCACAAAGAACACATTTAAAATTGATACCGAAAAATAAATTAACGATGGGGGGTCTCACGTGTTTCTGTTAGTGGTTATTGATTGTAAATTAATTTACATCCCCAGGAAGTACAAGATATACAACCAACTAGAAATTTAATGACCCGTTTCCATGGTTACGTGATTTTATTAGCTCCATCTGGTGTAATATCTACGCCATATGTGAACATTTGGCTAAGTGACATTTAACGCTCCACCTACACATATTTGATTTAGTCTTATCCGCTTCCAGTAAATTACAGTTTGCTCACTTCTGTTTCAGAAAACATGGGCGCATGCACATGCGCTGTTTATATTAGCAGCAGCCATACGTAATTGGGAATGACCTTCATTGTTTATCATTAATTGGTTTTTTATTAAATTAAATCATAATATTTAGTTAGTGTATGTTAATAAATTTTGGAGTCAGATGTTCTTTGCGTTTGGAAAAATATAAAAGAAACCTGTTTATTGTTTATATTAAAGGTGGTATGTTTGTTTTTACCGCCGAACTCCTCCAACAACATTCCAGCTATGTGCCGGTGGTCCGTAAATAACTGGAATCTAGGGGGGACAATCCGTGATTGACATCATGAGCACCGGCCTACGCATCTGGGATAGAATGACATGTATCAAAAATGTCCCTGATCGCGTCACTCGCCTATTACAATAAGGATGAGATTCTGAATATCAATTCCAACCCCGATATTCACAGGTCGGCTGAATCTAGCATGAACTAAGCTTGGCTTGCTGGCGAACAATTTGAACCCAGTATGTTACGCTAAGAAATATAATAATACTTTGTGTTCTTTTCGAATATTATTTTTAAACAAATTGTGAGTGAAGTATGGTTTTACGCCGCTTTTAGCAATATAATCAGCATTATCAAGGCGAGAGGACGCCAGAAATGGAGCTTCACACATTGTACCCATGCAGAAAATCGAACCAGGGTCTTCGGCGGTGACGAGCGAACGCTGTAACCACAAGGTTAGAATTGATCTTCAGTAACCCATGCTTGTCTTAAAGAGGCGACTGAAGGGATTGGGTGGTCAGGCTCGCTGACTTGGTTTACACATGTCATCGGTTCCCCATTGCGTAGATCGATGTTCATGCTGTTGATGACCGGATTGTCTGGTCAGACTCGATTATTTACAGACCGCCGCCATATAGCTGGAATATTGTCATTTACACACTATCCAGTTCACCAAAAGCTCCTCTCACCACCTAGAACCACCCCGTCGTTCCACCCAGAACAACAAACAATCTCCTACCCCACAAAACACACATCGTCAACCCCACGTCTGAGCCTACTCTCACCACCTAGAACCACCCCGTCGTTCCACCCAGAACAACAAACCACCCTACCCCACAAAACACACATCGTCAACCCCACGTCTAAACCTACTCTCACCACCTAGAACCACCCCGTCGATCCACCCAGAACACCAAACCATCTCTACCCCACAAAGCACACATCGTCCCCCACGTGCTAAACCACTCCATCCGCCGACCCAGAACAACAAACCACCACTACCCCACAAAACACGTATCGTCACCCCACGTCCGAACCCACTCTCACCACCAGGAGCCACCCCTCTGCCCACCCAGGGCCAAAACAAACCACCCCTGCCCCAAAGAGCTTACAACGTGGTAATGCTATATATGACCTTTCGAAGACTAATTAGAATGTTATGCATAGACATTATACAGTATTAATTAATGAGTGTATTTAATCTCACCGTGAATGTTTTAAGCAATGCTTTACGTACCTGTAGAATATTACCGAAATACAAAAATAATACTTAGGTAAGGTTATTTTTCCGCTTTAGACATAATTATCCCAAACATATACACGCACGTACGCACGCACGCACGCACGCACGCACAATCATAGACTAACATGTAGTCCCATAAATAAATAAATAAATAAATAAATAAATAAATAAATAAAATAAATAAATAAATAAATAAATAAAATAAATTCTTATTTTTTTTAAAACATCGTCATAATAATACATGGAAGTACGTCAACAAAATAACAAAGTTAAATCCAAAGCGATTCAGGTTCTGCAACGTGAGGCTATCTAGACTTGCAAAATCACCCAGATGAAAAATTGGATTAATATATTAATTTACCTTGGAAGCTCTAGGGATTACGGTAGCAGGGGCCCCGTAGCAACCTGTGACAACTGAAAAAATGTCCCCGCACAAACACCACGGATACTGAGACCCTATACTGCCTGTTTGTGCGTTCTTTGACGTGCGTTTTCAATAGGCTTTGAACAAGTGAGCCGTGCAAGGGTTAACACAGCGACCTGCATAGACAGGTTTGACTTGCTTCTAATGGTACAAATGTACAACCACGTGCATTAAAGAACACCAAGCATTGGCACGCAATACACGTGAAAAAATGGCAGCCAGGTCGTATAAAGTTTAACGCTATTCCGGGTGTATTGATATGCTATTGTACACGAGAAACGACGACATGTTTATCTATCTCCGGGTTACCCGCCACGCTTGGCTTGGTCCAGTCATACCATCCACTGACATACTTCGTGACCCGACGCGATCGGTTGTGGTCTTCGGGTTCAAACTGCATTGACGATTAAGTGGAGGTATCTATACACACACCTGTGTTTTGACGGCCACAGGGCGTGCTGTAACCGGCATTGTGACCCCCAGACAGGTGATAGCCGTCGTTGAAAACGGAACAGGTTCGTCGACTCCGCACCGCCTCTCATTATCCACGCCGTTGCCGGTATCACAACACGTGGGTAGAACGACCTGTCAGGTTTCGTGAAAGTGGTGAGTTAACTGAAGTAGGTACAGAAATTGTTGTAACGTTGTATATATACATTATTATGTTTCATACACGTTGGGGTGGTTATATATGAGATCCGGTTCCTCTCCTTGCGATTTATTCTTAGAAACTGAAAAAAATCATGTGTGTCGCCATATAGAAGTTTGTAGGGTCATACTGACCTTTTTGAAAAGGGAGATGCATAATGGTGACTAAAATGGGTGTAGACACTGTGGTTGTGAAATGTCGGGATAAAATTGCGCCGACTCGACCTTGAAAATGTTTCTTCAAGGTTCAGTTAACACACACAACAATGTTATATACTCGTCTGATGTTATTTCCTGCTCGTGGGCAGGGCATCCGCACGGCTGAGTCACTAACTTCCACACCGGTTGGGGGATGGGAGGGGGAATTCAACCCAGTTGGGTTAACTTACACTAGGGTGCAAAGGACAACGACCTGCTTGGGAAAGTACTTGAGATCTTAAGCAATACCTGAATTTTAAATGTGACCTACATGCTTGTAACTGATACGCTGTCGGTATAAATGTTTAAGCCGAGTGGGGATCTTGCAAACGCCGTGCTTGCATATGCATGTCAAGTTGCATGTATGCGAAGTCGCTCGAGCAGGTAGCGGTGCAACAGGCGCGTGGTTGTCATGGACGTTCACGCTGCTAGTCTATAATAGGAATTAGACCGGGGGTGGAAGGGGGGGGGGGGGGGGGGGTGGTTGTTAACACGCCACTAATGTTTGCTATGCAAAGGGCGTGGTTGAGTACATATATGGTTCGTGCACAAGTAATTACTCGCGCCCGTTGGTTGAGAATTCGACAGGTGAGTCATTGATCACGGTCCATGTGTGATCCCAATGTGGAGTTTATTCGCAACAGCGACCTAGATCTGGGGTCCTAGGTACCTTATTGTATATTCACAGACACAGGTCACAGCTGCGTGCCATCGTATTCATCAGCTGGTTAGCATTCGATCCGTTCTGTTACATAATTGCATATTAATTTTGATACAATGACATTTTGAGGGACACCGGGTGTTTGGGTTTCGTTCATAACTAATTACGTCCTTTAAGGCTCATTGTGCATATCCAATAAAACAGATGGGGTTCGTAGTGATTAAAAGCTCGCGAGAACAGCTCGGTGAGTACCGTGTTACAAGAATATGAAATCAAAGGCCATTTTACTTATGTATATTAATTCATATTGATTTAATCGTATTTTATATATATTATTTTACTCAATATATGCATTTAGCTCTTACGCTTTTGTATATATGACACAGGCGAGGATATTATTCTTTGAAACTGTGTTTGGAAATGGGTCGTTGAGATGGTTGTATTTTGAAACGTTGAGATGGTCCTTTTTATTGCAAAGGTTTTCGTTGAGATGGTTGTTTTTTGCAAACAGGTCTTCGTTGAGATGGTCGTTTTATTGCAAGAAGGTTTTCGTTGAGATGGTTGTTTATTGCAGGCTGGTTTTCGTTGAGATGGTCGTTTAATTGAAGTGGGTTCGGGATTACTTTCTAAATGGTCCTACCAGCGCTAACACGATGAACACGCGCATGCACGCGCGCTCACATACGACATTACAGACAAGGCTGCACTGCATACCACCGACATTAGCAATATCAACAGGAATACGACACTCAAACACTGAATCTGATATTTGTATGTATGTATGTATGTATGTATGTATGTATGTATGTATGTATGTATGTATGTATGTATGTATGTATGTATGTATGTATGTATGTATGTATGTATGTATGTATGTATGTATGTATGTATGTCTGTCTGTCTGTCTGTCTGTCTGTCTGTCTATGTGTGTATGTGTGTTTTGTGTGTTTGTTTGTGTGTGTGTGTGTATTGCGCGCGCGTGATGCATGCATGTATGTATATTAATTTTGGCCATTTCAAGAACTAAATGGAGAGAAACTTGCCAACCCTCTAAAGAAACTATACCGAAGTCAAGCTGTTGTACAGATGACGAAGGTTATTAAATCAGGACGTCACGAATAACTGATGTCGTCAAATCGTAATCTCAAGAGAGTGGAGTGAGTAAAGTGAGTTTAGTTTTACGCCGCACTCAGCAATATTCCGGCAATATTCCAGCTATCTGTAAATAATCGAACCTTGACCAGACAATCCAGTGATCAACAGCGTGAGCATCGTTCTGCGCAATTGGGGACCGATGACATGTGTCGACCAAGCCAGCGAGCCTGACCACCCGATCCCGTTAGTCGCCTCTTACGACAAGCATTGGTTACTGATGGCTCATTCTAACCCGGACCTTCACGGGTTCGTAATCTCAAGATTGAACTGTGAAGTGATATCCCTTAAAAGGATCAACGAGCAACTGACAATCACTGAGACATCGGGAACATATTACAATCACTCAGTGATAGGCATCAGAACGATATAATATAAATTCGTTAGAAACATAATATGCGGATGGCAGATTGCCGTGTGAGTTAATCCCGCACCTAAATTATTGGCTATATCGGTTAAGTTGTTAATCAGTAGGGAGTGAGTGACTGAGTTTGGTTTTACGCCGCTTTTAGCAATATTCCAGCAACATCACGGCGGGGGACACCAGAAATGAGCTTCACGCGATGTACCCATGTGGGGATTCAACCTGGGTCTTCGGCGTGACGAGCGAACGCTTTAAACACTAGGCCCCACCGCCCCCGTTAATCAGTAGTGACTCTCTGTCAGTCGTCAGTATAGAAATATGTGGCTCACGTATGACGGCTATGTCGGTTAACTTTAAAAAAAATGCAGGAAATTATGATGACAGCCGTACGCCACTTAACCCCTGGCCTGATGTTGCAATCTGCAACCACGTATCAGGATTTAACACTATTCGTGTTATCAAATCACAACAGGAACGAATCGATTCCTTTGCCCTTTTACTTCCTACTTTATATAACGACATCCGGGTCACAACTGCGATACCACGTGACACGGTTCACTGCTAATTCATAATAATTGAATCAGAATCACACCATTGGTTATAATAGTGTATGTAACATCTGCCTCGGGTAACCGTGGGGTTATGCTTGTAATATATCAACAATCATAGTGAGTGGGTGAGGTGGTGGATGGGCTGGTGGCTGTGAGTGAGTGAGTGAGTGAGTGACTGAATTTGGGGTGAGTGAGTTTGTTCATTTTGGTGATTGAGTTGTATTGTATGAGTGAGTGAGAGCGTTTGGTTGAGTGTGTGGGTTTGTGAGCGTGAGCGAGTGAGTGAGTCGGTCGATCAGTGAGTGAGAGCGTTTGGTTGGGTGTGTGGGTTTGTGAGTGAGTGAGTGAATATTCGAGTCTGGACCAGTCACACCACTCCTACAGGTTATGAGCAACGCCCTCGTCGAGATATGATAATCAGTCCATCAAGTCCCCAAGCCTGTGCCATCCTTAAGTCCCTTGCGACCCGTGAAGATCCGGGTCAGAATTGATCTTCAGTAACCCATGCTTGTCGTAAAAGGCGACTAACGGGATCGGGTGGTCAGGCTCGCTAACTTGGTTGACACATGTCATCGGTTCCCAATTGTGCAGATCGATGCTCATGCTGTTGATCACTGGATTGTCTGGTCCAGACTCGATTATTTACAGACCGCCGCCATATAGCTGTAATATTGCTGAGTGCGGCGTAAAACTAAACTCACTCACTCACTCACTTTAAGTCTCGTGCGAATGTCTTGGTAGCTGAGAACACTATTAGAGAACACCCGGATCTGAATGTACGTGCAAAAGTATTCAATACCGCTGAATGGAGAATTTGCAAATATTTGAAACCAATGATACCCAAGAAAGTCAACAATAAACGGCCATACACGTTTGCAACATACATGACTAGACTTGTCTTTAACGCCGTTCTCAGCAATATTCCAACTCTGTGACGCGGTCTGTAAATACTCAAGTCTGGGCCAGACAATCTAGTGATTGACATCGTGTGCATCGACGCCGAAGACCCGGGTTCGAATCCCCACATGGGCACAATGTGTGAAGCCCATTTCTGGTGTCCCCCGCCGTGATGTTGCTGGAATATTGCTAAAAGCGGCGTAAAACCAAACTCAGTCAGTCAGTCGTGCATCGATCTACACAATTAGAATACGATGACATGTGCCATGTGGCTGACCATCAGATCCCGTTAGTCGCCTCTTACGAGAAGCATGAGATAAAATAAGGTCTAGCTCGTATCGTCAAGATTTACTGAGTGTTTTGAAATTTGTTTTGGGATGCAATTTAACTGTAAATAGGGGAGTGGCCCTGTCTTCTAGGGCTCCAAGGTTCATTGTTTCCTTCTGGCATAGCAGAAACCCACGATCCTGGAATCGCGGTCCACCCTGTTTATGTTTCAAGGTTGAGTAGCATCCCGTGTTCGTGGTTCGTGTAAAACATCTGAGACAAGCATGCAGCAATAAGGGTTTTTCACGGCATCAAACTCTACTGCCGTGATATTGATGGAATGCTGCTAAAAGCGGCGTAAAACCCAACTCACTCACTCACTCACCAAGCTGACACACGGTGTCACACTGTAACATAACTGGAAAACTGCCAAAAAGTGTCTCACCCCATTCGCTCACTCAGGGTAGATTTGATACCTTTTGTTCTAATTCTAAACTTCACATGATATGATATTAACGGTTATTTTGACATTGTACTTATGTAACAGCTTCTTTGCAATATCTCCCGAATGACACCAGTGCATGGTCCGTGTCTAGACTGTATCTCTTTCTCTTTATGACCTTTGACATGGCTGAACTTGACCTACTTCCGATAAAGGTTGTTCGCGGGGCAAAGATCAATCTCGGTCTGCAGATATGACGAAACGCAAGTAACAAGTGAGTGAGTTATTATTGGCTAAGCCGGTTAAGTTGATAATCAGTCGTGAGTGAGTGAGTTTAGTTTTACGCCGCTTTTAGCAATATTCCAGCAGTATCACGGCGGGTGACACCAGAAATGGGCTTCACATTTTGTACCCATGTGGGGAATCGAACCTGGGTATTCTGCTTGACGATCGAACGCTTTAACCACTAGGCTACCCCACCGCCCGCAGGTAACACGAACAAGTTATTAGGAACTTGTGATATTATATATGTGTACATAGCAGTACAGTGTTTGCCGGTCCAGTTTCATTACATGTCAATAGACACTTGCTAATAGATGTGGGGACCGCCTCCGTGGTGTAGTGGTTAGAGCGTCCGCCCGGAGAGCGGAAGGTCGCGGGTTCGATCCCCGACCGCGTCATACCAAAAGACGTTAAAATATGGTACTTGTTGGTCCCTGCCTGGCGCTCGGCATTAATGGGTACAACAAGGACTGGTCGGCTTGGAGTCAGTATAATGTGTCTGAGTGGGGTATTCATGCTTCACTGCGGCATGGTATCTCAGTGGGCTAGTACAAGCAGCCGCACATACACATACACACGCATGCACGTTGTCATATGAGCGAAATATTCTCAAGTACGACGTTAAACCCATTTTCATCTCACCTCATCTAATAGATGTGGGATCTTTCATATTGTGATATTCGGGATATTTAAGATAGCCTTACATATGGATATGAAATACACCTGAAACGCATAATTACATAATAAATGACAAAGGTCCATATTTATAAATATCATCGTTTTTCCACAATAGGCAACTAACATACCATCCTTAAATGATACTATAAATAGGCGAGTATTAATACTATAATATATACAGTGGTTAATATTCTGCATAATACAATCTTATGTAATAAAATTGATATAACTGATTGACTTAAATGCGAAATATAAGTACAGTGTACTTAAACATATTGTTCAAAGACGCTATGCAGAAAGAGCGGCGGTGGGGTAGCCTAGTGGTTAAAGCGTTCGCTCGTCACGCCGCAGACCCGGGTTCGATTCCCCACATGGGTAAAATGTGTGAAGCCCATTTCTGGTGTCCTCTGCCGTGAATATTGCTGGAATATTGTTAAAGCTCAGTCACTCAAATTGGTCACTCGTAATTTTCATCCCGGGATAGATGGCCACATGTCTGATCAATGCTGCTACATTATCGCTGTGAGCTGTTTCATCACCACTGTAAGGACTGACTAACATTAGCGCAATGCTCATTTCTAAATTTCTAAGCCCTTAGCTCATTGGTACAGGTAATATTAATTCTTTTTGAATCAGTATGCGCATATATCCATTGATTTCAGATTCATAAAAGACTAGTTCAAAACATAACATCACCGTCCAGGACGTCGTTTGTAACAGCTGTTCATATATGTAAATCAAATCAATCAACAGCGATGATGGATATACTAGACATGTTTGCAAATACGACAGTTGCAGCAATGTTTGATTAATAACCTCCCTCCTATATCCGTGACACTCCCGCTGAATCACGACCCGCCTTGACCAGCGCAGGTAAATATTGCTGTCCGTTGTTGGTTAGCTGTTGGCATGACTGCGTCCTGTCAACGTTGCGGTACGAGACTGTAGACGTTGTTGTCATTGTAGTCGGGATGTATTGAGGGACGTAGTTTTGACGTCGGGGACGTGGACTGTGTCGATGCTGTTAAGCGGTGAGAAGGTGTTAGCCTAATAACTGAGGTAGTATTTTATATTACAAATGCTTGTAACATTTGTCAGTGATGCTTTTGCACCATGCTCTGTTTATTCACAATCAATAATGTAAGTGGATCGCATCCTGAGGCATTGTCCTTTATTGTTCTGCATATGTTTACTGGTGGCCAGTCTAGACATGACTGATGCTACACTGTAAGACATGTGGTTAGAATCTATAGATACGCTACGCTTGTTTAGATCTAAACACGTGGGCCATGGTGGGCGAGCTGTCCAAGGCGTCAGGCTTGTGATCGAGCGAGCTTGAGGATCGAGCCAGCTTGTGACTGGGTGTGAAAACCTTGCAGTCAACTTTGTGTGCATACTCTTTCAGTGTTATCACAGCCTCTAGTGTACAGTACACAACCCTGTGCACTTAAAAGAACTCGCGAAGCCGTTGGTATATGACCAGATGGTGACCACATGAATACGTGCAAACACCTAGTTGCGGGTACAGCAACGTGCAGTACACTTGGACAAAGTACTGTGACAATGTGTCACAGTCCACGCTGCTGGGAAACCCGCAATAACTTGGTGCGCCTAGTGGTTGCAAGAGTTGTACATCCCCAGGGAGTTGAGACTGATAACACGATGTGTCGTTGAGATTGACATCCAATGATCAAGGGAAAAACAACACAAAACAACAAAACCCAGCGCCTTGAGCATGTACTAGTTGCGTGGATATGTGCGCTACATAAATATCCTGTAATAATAAAGATTTGGAATGTGTTTAAATCCTAAATACGCATTTGGTCTGTTAACATGGCATGATGTATCGAAAAAGTGGTATTCAAACCATTCATTGATAATTAGGCATTAAGTCAAATATAGATACAATGTATAACATAAATATGATGAAATTAGATGTGCAAAGCAGATTCAAAGGCCCTTGCACAAAAAATAGTCTACCAGGGCGAAACTACACTTATCAATATTAACATTATGCAGAAATATACCAAATGAGGATTATGGTGACTAGACCAATTGACGATTCTGATATTTAGACAATAGATTAAAAATGACTGATTATATTGGAAAACATTTACTTATCGCTAGCCTAGGTATGGTTAACTCAGGAAAGATTCTTATTTGAAGTTGGTTCAGCCGTAGTTCCATACGTCCCGAAAATCGCTGTGCAGAGTTTCGTCCCTTGGGCACACCTGGAACCTATGATTGTCGGTACGACATCCGGGGCTTTACTCCAACAATAAGTTGACACAGTATTATGTAACTGCCATGCTGTTCAAAGCGGCTGTAAACTTCACTCTCTCACTCACGCCCATTTTCTATTTTCAGCATAAAAGAAACATCATGAATAATTCTACGAAGTTTTTCGATGTTGCGTATCAAGAACTTGCCTTCTTCCCAGAGGCCGGTGAGTACTTAGAAGAAACCACTTTTATTTGAAAGTCACTTTTACTAAGGACTCGTTTATATACATGTACTTTTATTCAGTCATGTACGGAAACGCTACCTTTTCTTAGTATTTACCGTCTCTTACACGCCAAGGAGGTGTTCTAAGTCCCTCGTTTTGACTTTTAATGGGTAAATTGTCAAATGAAATTATCCTTAATGGTAAACAAAGTGTGCTATAATTTCCCTATATGAATTATATGTTGTATTGTTTGTTGGCGAATCTTACTCTTGTTGAAATTTGCAGTCTCAGGCAATTGTCCTTGAATTATCTAAAACTGGAATTTAACTGTTAACCTCGTAAGTACCAATATTGTATTTAGACGAGATTATTAGTGTCGTTAACATTAGAAACAATGCAAACAAGATAAGAGACGATTCCTGTAACAGTTTATGAAAAAGTAACTTGTGCCGTAGACACACCAAAATTGGGTCAGCTATTGGCACGCCAGCCTATTTTGATCAGATTTAGGTTACTTACCACTCAACTTTTAATGACTCGATATGGCACATAAACTTGACATCATCTCTGCAAATTGCCAAGGCTTGAATAATGAAAAAAAGAGGATTGATGTGTTCGAAAGCGAAACAAAGGATATTATTAACCATGCAAAGACCTATTTTGAAACTTTATATACCAGTAAACATGTCAAAGATGTCGATCTAGAATTCTTATTCAAAGATAGTGAAATACCTAGATTATCTGACACAACGCCCATTCTCTTGAAGGCGAAATACAATACGATGAAGTGCTTTCAGCATTGAAAAATATGAAAAAAGCCATCCATCTGGTTTTACAGCTGAATTCTATAAACTGTTTTGGAAAGACATCAATAAATACCTGATCAATTCATTAAATGAAGCATATGGGAAGGGTGAGCTATCTTTAAGTCAAAAACAAGGGCTCATAACATGTATCCCCAAATGAGAGAAATCTAAGGAACATCTGAAAAATTTCAGACCCATTTCACTATTAAACATATCATATAAACTAGCCTCAGCCGTGATATCAGCACGTATTAAAAACATACTTCGTAATATAATAAGTGAAGACCAAAAGGGATTTATGAAAGGCAGACTGGTTAACGACATTATGGATTACACAGAATATACGAATAAATCAGGACTTTTGATACTTATAGACTTCGAAAAAACTTCGATTCGGTGGAATGGTCCTTTATCGAGAAAATTCTTGACTTCTTTAATTTCGGACCATCTATCAAAATTTGGCTAAAAACCGCATTCTAGCATAAACTCTAGTGTTCTTGTAAACGGGTTTCCATCAGAATTCTTTCAAATTACACGGGGTTGTAGACAAGGTGATCCCCTCTCGCCGTATATATTCCTCATAGTAGCAGAAATCCTGGCCCACATGTTACGACAAAACAAAAAGATAAAAGGAATAATGATGATTGATTTAGAATACCTACTAACTCAATTTGCCGATGATACACCTATAATTTTAGACGGGTCTGAGTGCTCATTTAGGGAAACATTACAAGTACTTGAAACATACGCACCCTTCTCTTGACTTAAAATAAATATTGACAAAACTAAAGTTATTTGGATAGGTTTGAAACAATATTCAAGTTTGCAATACTGCAGAGAATACAACCCTGACAGGACTCAAAAGCCATTTGTACTCTAAGGCATTCTATTTCAACATATTAAAGCAGAAATGGTGGAAAAGAATTGTAAAGATAAACTTAAAAATATTGACAAAGTAATGAAAATGTGGACTCTGAGAGACCTTATACCTTTAGGAAGAATAACTATTCTAAAGAGCTTGATTTTACCAACACTTAATCATCTTTTCACCTCGCTAGCAAACCCTAAATTAGAAACGATAGTGAACCTTCAAAAGAAATGTTTCTCCTTTATTTGGAAAGGTAAACCTGATAGAATAAAACGATGTCTGATAACAAAAACATACCAAGAAGGTGGTCTAAAAGTACCAGCTATACTTGAAACAATTAAGTCCCAGAAAATATCATGGATCAGAAGATTATTCGTACATGACTCAAAATTAAATAATCTTTTATATACTTCACAACCAGTGAGCAAACTAAACCCCATAGAAATGGGACCATTGTATCTGAAGATACATTATATTCAAAAACTCATAAGCCCATTCTGGAAAGACGTGTTTGAAGCCTGGTAATGACCATAGCAGCAGACAGTACATATGGGCAAATGATAAGATAAAAATAGGGAGAAAACCAGTAGTATATGCCCACTACCTACAGTCAAATGTAAAATTTATAAATGATTTCTTAAAAGATGACAATACATTCTTTCTTATAAAGAATTCGTAGAACTGTATGGGGTTAAAACAAATTTCTTTGAATATACAGGATTATTATCTTCATTGAAAACATATTCAAAACAGAGTTCGTTCAAAATTAATATTCAGAAAGATTTACCTTTTATTCCTCCTAATTTGGAAATACTACTCAAAGCTAAGAAAGGATGTAGAATATTTTACAACAGGCCTCTTCACAAGGAAGCTATAAACCAAAGACTGCTTTATCAAAGTAAGTGGGAAAAGGAATTGAACATAAATATCACTCTTAATCTATGGAAGACACATAATTTTATACCATTTCGAGCATCATATAGTGCTAGGCACAGATGGCTTCAATACCGTATTCTCCATAGGATCCTTACAACCAATAAAGATTTATATAAATACAAACTAATAGAATCACCACTATGTACATTTTGCGATGTTGAAATAGAATCTATCATTCATTTATTATATGAATGCAAACATGTCAAAAAGCTGTGGCAAGATCTACTAGAATGGATTGAAAATGAAACAGACACCCATTTGAAATTAAACGCAGAAACCATTATTCTCGGATTCAAAGAGAGAAGAAATGATGTGCTGAATTTTATTTTCATATCAACTAAAGAGTACATATATTCTAGAAAGTTAGCAAACATTGTACCTTCTCTCGCTGGCTGAAACCAAAATTCAATTACAATTACCACTTACACAAATTTAATGCATACTCTCACTGCAAATACGACACTTTTGTTACATTTTGGTCGTCTTGCCACAATCTATTTACATAGATAATGACTTTGAAATTTGACTCCTATATAAAGCAACAAAATGCTGACTTGCATGATATGCTGTACCCAGATCAAAAAGAAATAAAGTGATAAAAAACCAAAAACTTGTGCCGTAGTGTTTGGGTTGAATTGAATTAATGCTTAGGCTGGGATACGAAACAAATTTGCTTCCACATGACCCTTGCCATTTTTTAAATGTTATAAATTTGTGCCGAAAAGCAAAAACAAATTAATTGATTTTCAAAGATAAGATGTCTAGGATACCCAACACATGTGTGTTTTATGCGAATATTGTTTATTAATTGTTTTCAGTTTTGAATTCAATTTTTAGAAATTAAAACTACGAAGATGTGTTCTGACTAAGCGCTATTACAGTGTCATTTTAATATGATATATCTTACTTAAGCCATTTTTGATTGAAAATCAAACGTGTGATAAAAAAGCTGAGAGGTGGAGTTTCTTTTGCTCCTCAGTATATACATTTTCTGAAGAAGCCCGTGACTGTTGTAGATCCCCGCACGGACGAGTGGCTCCTGATGGACAGTCCTGGCACCGTGCTGGCCATCTGTGGAATGTACTTTCTGGTTGCCTGGAAGGGACCACGGTGGATGGAACATCGGAAATCCTTTGAATTCCCGCGACTTCTCTTCTGGTACAACGTCTTCCTCATCTTTCTGTCATTCTTCATCAGCTATGAGGTGAGTGATGTCAAAGGGACTCTTTTATCAACTATACGAACGAGTTCATCCAGTGCTAGGTGAACCTCGTAAAGGTCTATGTAATTTATGAGGCGTGTTGCAATTATCCCAATTACCGGTAAATATCTTGTCATTGAAAAGACCCTTCTTTATCCGTCACGAGATAGATATCAAAACGTCTCGCTTTTATTACAAATGGACTGAGCACTATTCAGCCTCATATATATCTATATCTATATATATCTATATATATCTATCTTTATATCTATATATATATATATCTATCTCTTTCTCTCTCTATATATAGATGCAACTAGAAAGTCATATATATATATATATATATATATATATATATATATGAGCCTGTATGTACGTATGTACGTACGTATGTATGTATGTATGTATGTATGTATGTATGTATGTATGTACCTAACCTTGTTCCAAGGCTGTACTTTATATTTAGCCGATGGATGTATAGTAATTATATCCTTCGGAGAGGCAATTCTAGATAACCGGACATTACTAAGAACCCCAGTCTGTTATTTAGTATTTTTCGAAATTATCTTTTAAACTATTAATTTTTACCTTAGACACTTGCGCAAGTCTATTATCTACCACGAGACTAGAGTTACATAGCATCGTATTGACCAACCTTGGGCTGTGTGTCATAGTTGCTGGTATTGATCAAGCACGAGCTGCGCCATACATTCTCTTTGTCATCAACCAAGAACTGTGTCATGTATACTCTTTATGGGTCAGAAGCTGTGTCGCCTCCTCTCATTTATCACCAGCACACTGTGTCCTAATGCTCCAGTTTATCAACCTAGTAGTTAATAACCACGGGTTGTGTCATACATTCATGTGTTTGTCATCAACAAAGTGTGTCTTACATCCAGTTATTTAGCTACCTCGAACTGCGTCATACATCCTCTTATGTACCAAGAAAGAGTTGTGTCATGCATTGTCATATACATTAACCACGTGCTCTGTCTGATATTCTCTCAGTTATCAACCACGAGCTGTGTCAAACATTCTCTCAGTTATCAACCGCGAGCTGTGTCAAACATTCTCTCAGTTATCAACCACGAGCTGTACATGTTTCAAACATTCTCTCAGTTATCAACCACGAACTGTGTCAAACATTCTCTCAGTTATCAACCACGATATGTGTCAAACATTCTCTCCGTTATCAACAACGTGCTGTGTCAAACATTCTCTCAGTTATCAACCACGAACAGTGTCAAACATTCTCTCAGTTATCAACCACGAGCTGTGTCAAACATTCTGTCCGTTATCATCAACGTGCTGTGTCAAACATTCTCTCAGTTATCAACCACGAGCTGTGTCAAACATTCTCTCAGTTATCAACCACGAGCTGTGTCAAACATTCTCTCAGTTATCAACCGTGAGCTGTGTCAAACATTCTCTCAGTTATCAACCACGGGCTGTGTCAAACATTCTCTCAGTTATCAACCACGATGTGTGTCATACAGACAGTTATTATGAGTTACTGTGATCGTGTTGTGCACCGTCTCCTAGCTCATGGTAGAATGGAAGAAGGGTACGTAACAGCCGTATAGCTATTACTGGGTAGGTGAATCATAGTATTTCGTTGAATATGATTGTGGGTTACCTGTATCGAACATTCTTTACTGTTCTGTTTTTATCCAGTTCTTCGTTGTCGCCTATCAAGACAATTACACACTGTGGAACTGTCAGCCTGTTGTAACGGGAAATTCACCGTTAGCCATGAGGGTAAGTACATAACTAACTTCTGTTTGTTTGTTGTTTTACGCCGCACTCAGCATTATTCCAGCTATATGGCGGCGGTCTGTAAATGATTGAGTTTGGACCAGGCAATCCAGTGATCAACAGCATGAAGGATCAACGTAACAGGGATACCATGACATGTACCAACCAACAGCAAGCCTGACCACACGGTCCCGTTAGTCGTCTCTTACGAGAATCATGGGTTACTGAAGATCAATTCTATATCGGAATATACATAACCCACCCATCTACCCACTCAATATATACACCCACATTCTTTTGTCCTTTCAGATGACCAGTACAGCCTGGTGGTACTTCTTCTCCAAGATCATTGAGCTACTGGACAGTGTGAGTATAGCAAGTCGGGGAAGGGGGTGACAGATAAACACCCATCCTCGTATTATTGGTTTCCGGACGCTTATAAAACGTTCATTGTTTTCTAGCTGAGGCTGCCCATATTTCTTTAGTATTTCATATCTCCCACCCGCCCTGAATTATCATTCGCATGTGAAATAATGAAAAGTTTCCTTTTCTCAGTCAGATAAAGGAGTGTGTAAATGAGATGAAATATTTCGAAAAACCAGATGAAGGACTTTATAAAATATAATGAAGTATCTTGTAAAATCAGATGAAGTGATGTGAAAATCAGATGAAGTAATGTATAAAATCAGATGAAGTAATGTATAAAATCAGATGAAGTAATGTATAAAATCAGATGAAGTGATGTGAAAATCAGATGTAGAAATGTGTAAAGCCAGGTGAAGGACTGTATAAAATCAGAAAAATTCTCTGTAAAATCAGATGAAGTGATGTGAAATTCAGATGAAGTAATGTGTAAAATCAGATGAAGTAATGTATAAAATCAGATGAAGTGCTGTGAAAATCAGATGAAGAAATGTGTAAAGCCAGGTGAAGGACTGTATAAAATCAGAAAAATTATCTGTAAAATCAGATGAAGTGATGTGAAATTCAGATGAAGTAATTTGTAAAATCAGATGAAGTAATGTATAAAATCAGATGAAGTGCTGTGAAAATCAGATGAAGAAATGTGTAAAGCCAGGTGAAGGACTGTATAAAATCAGAAAAATTCTCTGTAAAATCAGATGAAGTGATGTGAAATTCAGATGAAGTAATGTGTAAAATCAGATGAAGTAATGTATAAAATCAGATGAAGTGCTGTGAAAATCAGATGAAGAAATGTGTAAAGCCAGGTGAAGGACTGTATAAAATCAGAAAAATTCTCTGTAAAATCAGATGAATGCTGTGAACATCAGATGAAGAAGTGTGTAAGATCAGATAAAGGACTGTATGTATAGAGGACTGAGTGTCATCTGATGTTACAGATTATCTTCATCCTTCGGAAGAAGAACAACCAGCTGAGCTTCCTGCACGTGTACCACCACGGCACCATGCCATTCTTCTGCTGGATATCGGCAAGATATGTGCCTGGGGGAGCGAGTGAGTAGCCCTTCCCACCCCAAACAGTACCCCTCTACCCTCTCACACCATCTGTTCCACCACATCCTATCGTTGCGACTCCAATCTATGCCCATCCTGGCTCTTACACAACAGATACATACTACATACGGTCAGAACGTCGATTCCATATATCATAACAGTTATGACGCTTAAGGACGATCCTGACTTTATTCCTTTACTTGCTCTTAAGTCGATCGTTGGTTGGTTGGTTGGTTGTTTAACGCCTCACTCGGCAATATTCCAAATGCATGGTGGCAATCTGTAAATAATCGAGTCTGGACCAGACTATCCACTGATCAACATCATGAGCATTGACCTACGCAGCTTGGATACGATGACATGTGTCAACAAAGTCAGCGAGACAGACCACCCGATCCCTAACTAATTCTTACCCGGATCATCACGGGTTGTTAAGACCACCCTCTAACTTAACAAAGTATTGCAACGGGCGTAGAGGTGGAGTTAAGACGCCCATAACTCCAAATCTTATGACAGACATAGAGTTATACCAACGACAGAAAATCCTTTATATAGAGAAATAATTGTTTGTTTGAACATATTTTATTCAGTGTTGAAATGGATTGGGCACAAGTTATGTAACTTATTACCGCCCGCTCCCATCAGAAACATGAACAATAATGAACAATAATGATTGGAGGTAATGGATGGACATAATAATATTGAGACATATTATTGATTAATTGAAGCGCTTACTTCGTACAATGTATTTATGCACATGTCTAAAGATATTTTCATTGATAGTATTTGGCAGAGCAGGGTTGCCGTAAAGAATGGTATCAATGTCTAACTGAACTTTTGATAGTTCAAAGTCTTTCTTCAGATCAAAACGGCAAGTGACAAATTTTGGACATTTTAAGAAGAAATGGTTAGCATCTTCCACCGGAGCACCACAATTGCAAGCTCTACTCTCTGATAGATTAACACGAAACAGATCTGCTTGTAATGAATTACACGAATATCTTAACTTCGTGTGTAGTATATTTGTCTTTCTTTCACCAAATAGAAAATATTTTGGAACCTTGTCATTATTTCCAGATAACTTTGATTTAAACGATGATAATGAATTTGTACATTTTGTTGTAGAGGAGAGAGCATTCCATAAACTTGCAGAATCATAAATAAATGACTTTTGGAGAATTGAGGTGCGAAATTTAGGAACAGCCAAATCTGATTTGTTACGCAAGTTGTATCCGGAAATGGTTTCAGTAAAAGGTGGAAGTAAATCTATCAGGTAATCAGGAGCTTGCATGTTAACAATTTTGTAGAATGTACAGAGTTTCCTTTGTGTTCGTCTAACTTTCAATGGTTACCAACCAGTTTCACTGTATAAACTATATCTTGAAGAGAATTTAGGCAATCCGGTTACAATTCTTGCTGCTTCAAGTTGTAACATTTCAAGTTTATCACAAATATAGCTAGGGCAATTATCCCAGACCTCAGATGCATATTCTAAAATAGGCCTAATATACATTTCGTACATACTAGAAAGGATTTATCTAGGTAATACGTACTTTAGCGTCCGTAATGAGGAAACAATTTTTGAGGCCTTTTCTATTACAGCAGATACATGATGAGACCATTTTGTATTATCTGAAAAGATGACACCGAGGTGTTTATGTTGATGTACACGTTCCAAATGTTGATTATTGAAAATCAAGTCAGGAACTTGTGGACAATTTCCATTTTTAAAAAGCATGAATCTGGTCTTGTTCGGGTTCAACTTAACTAACCATTTGTCAGCCCATTCATTCAATTTTGCTAAATCATAGTAAAGAGTAGCTTCTATGGTTTCTACATCTTTTCCTCCAACACCAATTGAAGTGTCGTCGGCAAACAGTCTTGTGACATTTGTTAGAGTTTCAGGTAAATCATTGATGTACACAAGGAACAAAAAATGGACCAAGGACAGATCCTTGAGGAACTCCTGCAGTAACATTTAATTCTTTTGATAATGTACCATTGATGGAAACACTCTGTCGTCTATCAGATAAATAGTTTGTTAACCAACTAAGTAAATGCCCACGAACACCATAATTTTCTAATTTGAGCAATAGCCCTTAATGTCACAAAAAATCATACAATAAAGGTGATGAGTATCCAGAGCTGAACATATATTGTGATAGATTTCAATGAGTTGAAATAATTATATAAGCCTGTTAAGACGATAATATTTGTATGCCTTTACAAACTCTCATAAAAGTCCAGGGTGCAGTTGTACAAACGATCTTAGTGCTAAGGTGATCGTAACTCCCATACCATAACATCGACAGGCGTAGCGCTAAGGTTGATTTACACAACGACGCTCTGACGTTATAACAACGTAACTCCTTTCCGTTGACCAAGCCTTATATAAGCCGTAGCATTAAGACGATAGAATTTTCCCGTTCCGTTCAAATTCTTATAACGTCTTAGCAATAAGATCGCTGTCAGTCATTGGTTTACATAGTGCACTTATATCACTGTTATATTGTCGACTGCCAAATAAAAAGATTCAACCTCAAAACAATACACTAAATGTAATTATGTGCGTTATATTTCAGAGTTTATAGCGGGCGGTTTGAACAGCGCCATTCACGTAATGATGTACTCGTATTACGCGCTTTCCGCCATGGGGCCAGAGATACAGAAGTTCCTGTGGTGGAAGAAGTATATTACAAAGCTACAACTGGTACGTATTCTGTGAGTTTGTGAGCGAGTAAAATGTAGAATTTCCTGTAGTGGAAGAAGTATATTACAAAGCTACAACTGGTACGTATTCTGTGAGTTTGTGAGCGAGTAAAATGTAGAATTTCCTGAGGTGGAAGAAGTATATTACAAAATTACAGATTGAGTGAGTGAGTAAGTGATCTTACAACATATATTGTGATAGATTTCAATGAGTTGAAATAATTATATACTGGCACAGCCGAGTGAGTGGTTATTATTAATATACTGAAGAACATTAGAAACGCACCACACTAAAATGCACAGTCGATGCTCAGATATCATGGGTACATTTCAGTCTGACGGGGATATTTCGTATTATATGGGTGGTGCGTTTCTAATTTTGTTCAGTATATTAGTATACTGGATTGTTTATGATATAGTTAATACTGACGTTGACCTATTGTTTTCAACACTGATTTCGTCTGTATTAGTCGATATTAGTCGGATTTTGTCTTGCTTATTCAACACTGACCAAAATCTTCTTCTGTTTTACAGCTGCAGTTCTCCATAGTGATTCTCCATTCTTTGCGAGCATTATGTCTCAGGCCATGCTCGTTCCCCAAACTAGTGAACCTGTTTGTCGTATTCTACACGGGGACCTTTCTCTCCCTGTTTGCCAACTTTTACCGCATGGAGTACCTAAAGAAAAGACAGCGTATCAAGGAGCACAAACAATAACAACATGGCGGCTTGTACAGTGGCAACCGTTGATTGGACAATGACAGCGAGGCCATCTAATGGTCAATCTTCAGTCTTCTTGGGTGGTCATCTCTCAGGTGGTGTGGGACAAGCTCCTTCGGAACAGTCACGTGATGATGAGAATTTCCGGTGAATCAAATCATAGAGTCATTGACTGCATGTATTCGTTATGTATTCACATCTGATAATCTGATCAACCATATATACTACCAAAGGGTTTTAAGTTAACAGCTCCCACGGAATATGTTGTATCGAATCATGGGGAAAAGTTCGTTTCCCTTGTGAAATTGCTAGGGGTGGGTATTGCAGAGAATTTTCATATTGCGATATATTGCGATGCGGAAGCATATATTGCGATATGTATTGCAATATATTGCAAGGATTATGTTTTTAACAAAACCTACTTATAATCGAGTTAATGCTTGATTATAAAGCAAAAACACAACAAAATCACTATGATTGATTAACCTTTTATAAAAACTTTTAATCATGACAAAATAAAAATTTAAGTAACATTTGGCACTAATGAAACATGGAAAAGAACAATTCAAAAAACGGAAATATCCGAAGATTTCCGAGCGTTACGAAGTTTTCCGAATGCATGTCAAAATACCGGTTTTCGATCAGCGTATCGCAATACGTATCGTTTTCATGTCTGAACCGGTAAATACCTGTAAACCGGTTATATTGCGCAGCCCTAGTAATTGCCAGTTAGATTACGACAGGCGTTGTTTGAAATTTAATATTCTTCAGGTTAAAAGACCAGCCGTGATATTTCTGAGTATTGCAACCCATGCTTGTCGTAAGAGGCGACTAACGGGATCGGGTGGTCAGATTCAGTGACTTGGTTGACACATGTCATCGGTTCCCAATTGCGCAGATCGGTGCTCATGCTGTTGATCACGGGGTTGTCTGGTCCAAGCTCGATTATTTAAAGCCCGCTCCATATAAGTGGAATATTGCTGAATGCGGCGTAAAATTTAACTCACTCACTCACTCACTCTGAGTATTGCTAAATCTTTCTGACGAGTGTTGTCATTTTCCAAAGCACTTAAATTACAGTTGATCATTATGAAAAACAAAACAAAACAAATTCCAATATAACCAGTGATATTTTTGTGAATTAGAAAATGTATGATTCTTATCGAGCTATTATATAATTTGAAGGAATTATATAAGCACGTCAACATGAAGTGGAGATATCTTGAATCCATGCGATTCCGGAAGTGTGATTTCACTGACTTAACGCGCCTTGAATAACTGTCACATTGCTGGTGCAATAACAATAATTATTTTTTGAGTCTCAGACTATGTAATAGATGATGTATATTTTTTCTACTTTTGCATAATGACCAACAGATGTGCCATTTGGAAATGCGACCCAAGAATGGCCAATGAATTGCAGCCTCAGAACGAACTGCAACAACAATATTATATAGTGTCATTCAGTGGCATTTAGAAGTTGTACATTGATGTCCAAGATATTTTTATGGATTAAACTTCTTATTAATTTCCCTCACAAGGTTTCGAGACCATTCCAGGTCCCTTCAGTTCATTATATAGGTTTAATAGTGGAAGGAATTACAGACTTCTCCCTACAGCTCCATTTTTGCTCATAAGAGATATTTAGGTAACCGGTTAAAATTCTAAGGTAGTCCCTTGAAATTGACCGGGGCATGCATCTCCGAAGCACCTTCGCCAAAGCGCAAAGTGCACATGCGAAAGGCTCAGGGAATATATTTCACGTGCAACACGTGAATCACGCTTTATGGGACATGTTATGATAATCAAAGATGTCGTGTACGCAAGCATGACGAAATGGTAATACAGCAGTTGGGTTCTTTTGCTCTTGTCCACAGCACGCCGACCCTAGCGATAACTGATTTTACCAAGCACTCCGGCTCTAGTGATTGTTGACATTGTCAAGCCCCGGGCTCTTTTCATTGTTGACATTGTCAAGCACTCGGGCTCTTGTGATTGTTGACATTGTCAAGCTCTCGGGCTCTTAAATTGTTGACATTGTCAAGCACTCAGGCTCTTTTGATTGTTGGCATTGTCAAGCACTCGGGCTCTTGTGATTGTTGACATTGTCAATCACTCGGGCTCTTAAATTGTTGGCATTGTCAAGCACTCAGGCTCTTAAATTGTTGGCATTGTCTAGCACTCGGGCTCTTAAATTGTTGGCATTGTCAAGCACTCGGGCTCTTGTGATTGTTGACATTGTCAAGCTCTCGGGCTCTTAAATTGTTGGCATTGTCAAGCACTCGGGCTCTTTTGATTGTTGGCATTGTCAAACACTCGGGCTCTTGTGATTGTTGACATTGTCAAGCTATCGGGCTCTTAAATTGTTGGCATTGTCAAGCACTCGGGCTCTTTTGATTGTTGGCATTGTCAAGCACTCGGGCTCTTGTGATTGTTGGCATTGTCAAGCTCTCGGGCTCTTTTGATTGTTGGCATTGTCAAGCACTCGGGCTCTTGTGATTGTTGACATTGTCAAGCTCTCGGACTCTTAAATTGTTGACATTGTCAAGCACTCAGGCTCTTTTGATTGTTGGCATTGTCAAGCACTCGGGCTCTTGTGATTGTTGACATTGTCAAGCTCTCGGGCTCTTAAATTGTTGGCATTGTCAAGCACTCGGGCTCTTAAATTGTTGACATTGTCAAGCACTCGGGCTCTTTTGATTGTTGGCATTGTCAAGCAGTCGGGCTCTTGTGATTGTTGACATTTTCATAGAGGCTCAAGGCCTGAAAGTGTCGTTGCAAACAATCAAAATACACAACGTACACTAGAATGTACAGCACTGCGTGTACAGGACGAGTAAATATCCACAATCCACGAAACCGTTTCTTTGCATACTTGCGTAAACCTTCTAACCGGTTTGTGCATTGTGGTTTCGTTCACTTGTGTCAAGCATTTACGATAAAGGTTACATCTGCCATTTGTATTCCAAGTTTGGTTAGGGAACATTTTAGTGTACATAAAAGTACCTAATGTATTTGCCTGTAATGTCCAATACAACTTCAACGGTGCTTTGGGTCCACCTGCTGTAAGTTAGAGATAGTCATCGAGTAAGAACACCGAGCAAGAAGAGATACCGTAACACGTGATCTGTATACGAGACCAGTCAACTTAACAATACAAGTTGCTGTGTACAGCTGTCTGCAGTACATCACCGTAATTAAAGTATCTCTCAAAACAAACATTTAATTGAGTAAATGTTTGTAATATTTCTCGAGGGCTAGCTTTAAGCATGTTATCTTTGTGATGTATTTGACTGGCTGATGCTATCAAGTTTGCAAAGAACACAGGCGTGAATTATGTTAGAGAATGAATGTAATGAAAAACGTTTAGACAGAAAACATATCCAAACCACCTCAGGCTTTGCCCACATGGGTGTTTGATCTTTTTTATGTATGAGATTTTAATTTGCATATCATTACCATACATATCATAAAATAGTTATAGCCAGTTGTTTAAACCTCATGGGGACCCAGGCAATTATTGCTTGTCAACATAATCTGATGATTGCCACTCTTGGTCATGTGGTTGCCCGTTCGATGGAGAGGGCTGGTGCTCATATTATCAACCATTGGTCTGTTAGGTCAGGATTCTATTATTTACAAACTTGTTTGATGTAGCTGAAATATTGCTGACTGGTGACAAAACAACACGAAACAACAAAGCAGCAACTTAGTGCAGCTTGAAGATCTTCACTCTATATTTTATAGTTTATACACAATAATATATTTTGACATAAATGATATCAAGTGAAAATGCACTTGTTGAACTTAGTACAGTGCTACAAAGCCCTCATGAACGAATAGTTGGTCATCCTACAAATAGTCCAAGAATTTTGAATGTCCGTGATGACTTTACTTTACGTCACTGCCACAAACTAATTTGCATATCACATGACGGGTAACACGGAGTGGTCACGTGATAATATGTTTTCATATAACTAAATATTTTAATGTGCTTTGATTATCAATAATTTCTTGATTTAATTCCTACGCTGGCATTAGTTCACAAGATTCCATATGCTTCATATTTCAGAGCTTTATTTACCTCTATACATATCTATATTTATATTCTTACATTAATTTGATAATGTTTATTTGTTTTTTTGCAAATATATTTCGGATTATTTTCCTGTTTCTTATGTCATTTGAATACTTTTCTGGCTATAATGTGTGTCTGTCAATCGTTGGAATAAATACATGATATGAATGAACGTGTGTCTGTTTCCGTGGTCTGATGGGTAGAGTGTCTGCCCGGACAGTGGAATGTCAATGGGTCGAACATTGTCGAACACTTACTTACTTTACCTGTTTGACCGTAAAGATCGGGTTGGAATCGGTCTTCTGCAACCAGGATCGGGTGGTTGGGCTCTCTGACTAGGTTGACACATGTCATCGTATCCCAGTTGCGTAGATGGATGCCCATGATCATTGGATTGTCTGGTCCAGATTTAATTATTTACATACCGCAACCATATAACTGGGATATTCTGAATGCGGTGTCAAACAAACAAACAAGGTAATCTACCACGTTACAACCTATGCCAACCGCCTTCATCTTACTTATAGCAGAATGATTCTCTGCGGCATGGTATCTCAGTGGCCCAGCACTCAAAAACCCAGCTTCAGTCTGGGCTAGTACAAGCAGCCGCACATACACATACACACGCATGCACGTCGTCATATGCGCGAAATATTCTCAAGCACGACGTTAAACCCAATTTCACCTCACCTCACCTTACTTATAGCAGGGATATATCGAGTCTTGGGCAAATATTCGGCCCCAAATCTGCCGCAAATATAAATAAATGCAAAGCTGGAATTAAACCACCACAACATACACCGTAAAACAGTTATTGTTTTCATATAACTAAATATTTTAATGTGCTTTGATTATCAATAATTTCTTGATTTAATTCCTACGCTGGCATTAGTTCACAAGATTCCATATGCTTCATATTTCAGAGCTTTATTTACCTCTATACATATCTATATTTATATTCTTACATTAATTTGATAATGTTTATTTGTTTTTTTGCAAATATATTTCGGATTATTTTCCTGTTTCTTATGTCATTTGAATACTTTTCTGGCTATAATGTGTGTCTGTCAATCGTTGGAATAAATACATGATATGAATGAACGTGTGTCTGTTTCCGTGGTCTGATGGGTAGAGTGTCTGCCCGGACAGTGGAATGTCAATGGGTCGAACATTGTCGAACACTTACTTACTTTACCTGTTTGACCGTAAAGATCGGGTTGGAATCGGTCTTCTGCAACCAGGATCGGGTGGTTGGGCTCTCTGACTAGGTTGACACATGTCATCGTATCCCAGTTGCGTAGATGGATGCCCATGATCATTGGATTGTCTGGTCCAGATTTAATTATTTACATACCGCAACCATATAACTGGGATATTCTGAATGCGGTGTCAAACAAACAAACAAGGTAATCTACCACGTTACAACCTATGCCAACCGCCTTCATCTTACTTATAGCAGAATGATTCTCTGCGGCATGGTATCTCAGTGGCCCAGCACTCAAAAACCCAGCTTCAGTCTGGGCTAGTACAAGCAGCCGCACATACACATACACACGCATGCACGTCGTCATATGCGCGAAATATTCTCAAGCACGACGTTAAACCCAATTTCACCTCACCTCACCTTACTTATAGCAGGGATATATCGAGTCTTGGGCAAATATTCGGCCCCAAATCTGCCGCAAATATAAATAAATGCAAAGCTGGAATTAAACCACCACAACATACACCGTAAAACAGTTATTCTAAGCCTGTCTCACAGTCCTTGAATGTCAGTATCTCCCCTTCTGTCCAACACTTTCTGCAATGTTTAAGCTCTAAATGAAGCAAGTCTAGATTTTCTCAGCTTCAGGCATCTGAATCTCAGATCTCCTTTGGCTCCTTTTCAATTTAAATGGAATTATTCGTTTCTATCATGTTATGTATTCAGACTGACTGACTGACTGAGTATAGTTTTACGCCGTTTTTAGCAAAATTCCAGCAATATCACGGCGGGGGGACACCAGAAATGGGCTTCACAAATTGTACCCATGTGGGGAATCGAACCCGGGCCTTCGGCGTGACGAGCGAACGCTTTAACCACTAGGCTACCTCACCGCCCCTTATGTATTCAGAGACTGAGCATCAGTCCAAGTTACTGTGAATGGGTCGAGAATAGTGGCCTTCGTGAAGCGAATAAACCCTTGACTTGAGAGGGTGGAGATCAACCTTGGAATTTTCTTCATTGATATAGGTGAAGAAAAACGGCATGAAAGGATAACAATTACATCGTCCCTCAAGACCACGTAACATACGACCACGTACACGCGTGCGCATACGCGCAATGGGTGTAAGGTTCCTCCATATCTGGACCGGAAGGACATGCACCAAAAGATTCTTTTGAAGTTTGAAACAGACATGTATGTTCAAACTCTACTCCGCTCAAAGAATTGATTTACTCGGGACGGTCGAGTTTCTTCCCATGACGTTTTGACCTGGATCTCTCTTAAAACTATATTTTCATTTTCAAAAGACAACAATTTCTAAATATTTTGTGCATGTCGATTTGTTTTCTTTCTAATATTAGTGAGCATGTCCTGTAGTTGTTTTTAGAGTAACAGCAAGTTGTAATTATTGTAAAGTCGTTATGTGAACATCGTTTGGTTGACACATGTCATCGGTTCCCATTTGCGCAGATCGATGCTCATGCTGTTGATCACTGGATTGTCTGGTCCAGACTCGATTATTTACAGACTGTCGCCATATAGCTGTAATATTGCTGAGTGCGGCGTTACCAGATAACGCGTAGCGTATCTATAAATATCCCAAGCTCACTTTTATCAGCTAACTTCCCGTTTGGATTCCGGTTTAGGTCAGGTCACTATCACCCTATGCTTGTCGTACGAGGCAACTAACTGGATCGGGCGATAACGTTCGGTGACTTAATTAATACGTGTCATCGTACCACCTCGATGGCGTGAGGCGTTGTTTCATGCTATCGATCACTTGTTTGTCTGGTCCAGACATGATTAATTATAGAACTAGACTAACAACTCTGAAATGAACATATTTTACAGGAAAAAAGGCTCATAGAGAAAAATATAAAAAATAATGAAAAGGAGCCCTGAGACTTTCTTCATTACTGAAGCTGTGGAAATCTACACTTGCCACATTTTCTAGACTTGCGTGGGCTTTCTTGGATATATTTGCTTCAGGGTCTGTATGACAGACTGTTATAGGACATACAGCTGGGTTATTGCTGAGCGCGTGTTAACGAACAGTGAGTGAGTGGGTTTGGTTTTTCGCCGCTTTTAGCAATATTCCAATAATATGACGGCGGGGGACACCAGAAATGGGCTTCACACATTGTACCCTTATGGGGGAATCGAACCCGGGTCTTTGGCGTGACGAGCGAACGTTCTAACCACTAGGCTACCCCACCAGACTATATAAGCGTGTTGATATAATGTGACTTTTATTATGAGCACAAGTTCTTATACCGATCGAAATACATTTTACGAGAAGGAAAACAAAGCTACACATATTTAATTGTACATATACATGGAACATAAGAATTGTTTGACTCAACTTATTAAAATACTTATTATGAAGAATAACGCCCCAATTTAATATTGAACAAAGACCAAGCAATCGTAGAGGTAATTTGAACGGATTTAACTACTAGAAATTAAGATGGACTGTGAATAATCGTTCTGGGCCTAGATTTTCGAAGCTCTCTTAGCGCTACGACAGTCGTAAGTGCCATACATTAACATTAACTTACGACTATCTTAGTGCTATGAGAGCTTCGTAAATCTAGGCCCTGGGTCGCTACATGCACGAGTTATATGTCGTGCGAGTTTGAGTGAGTGAGGAGTGAGTGAGTGGGTCGGTGGATGAGTGAGTGAGTGAATGGGTCGGTGAGTCACGTGTTTCTGTAAATAGTCGAGACTGAACAAACCAGTGGTCAATGGTAGGAGCAGCGCCCCGCACTATTACCTTACGATGTCATAAATCAGTCAAGTCACCGAACCAGTTAACGATTCAATGTTCAGCATCTTACAACAAGGATTAGAGTATCTGTTTCATATTCTGACCTGGGTCCAATTTTAACACTGGTACAGTAAGCAAGTTTGTGAGCTGGATTTAGCTGCGTTTAACAGCAGTGCAGTTCAGGAAATTCTAGTGTGCAGCAGAACATTTGCCACTCTGATGATATCCGGGAACAAGGGTTATGTGCTAAGTTCTAACAAACCTAAAAACAAATGGGAACTTAGATTCACAGGATTCTGACACACCAAAGGGACGCAACTCTGTCCTTCAGGGGACCATCCGAGGAGTCTTTGAAGACACCATATACAGTAGAAGGGCGAATTTTAAATAGGAGCCTAGAAACTTACCAATGAGACACGTCACATAATCGGAAGATTTGACTTATGTTTTGCTTAATTTTATATCGCAGTAATGTATAGAGAATCTAAACTGTTCTTATTTTACTCGTTAATTGGAGACAAGGCATTTATGTTAGGTGCGTACGTAGATGATATAAGATCGATTATTTTATTCACGTGTTCAACTTACAAATCTAAAGTGTTGACGGTAGTACATGTTTATTCAATAGGTAAAATATTTCACTCGGAGATCTTCATGTTTTATGTTAAATAAGAAATAAAGTTATTTTCTTCATGAACCTCAAGTAGATCCTTGCTGGGGGTGGGGCGGTTAAAAGCGGTGTTAAACAATACTCACTCACTGACTCCTGCTGGGTGTTCTGGTGAAAAACTCAGAGATAAAATCACGAAGCTCTCATAAAATACATGCATACGATATAAGGGAGGTAAATCCAATGAAACTAATAGTAACTAGAGTTGCCGTTCTTTGATGGGTGCAAAGGTGGGTATGTAATGAGTACAATCGAACGAATAACCTTCGATTAATCTAAAAGGAAGAAGTATCAATAAAATTTATAATTTCCATCAAACAGTTACAGCATCAGTGTCTGCACAATGTAGATCAACATGTCTTGATCTCAGTAGCCCGCCGTATATTTGTATTCGCAAGGCAACTTTTCTCATGTGAATAGCTGTGTGGATAATCGTACCGTCAGAATTAGGACCTATCTATCAATCATATTTCATAATGTTTGCGCATATAACTAAAACTGACTGTAGTTTCGTGACTTATTTAAACATTCTTATAAAATATTCCCTAGATAGGTAAACAAGAAGCCATCCCAAAATGTTTCCTTGAGAAGTATCAACTAAAACTTGACTTGATGGTGTGATTCAGACAAGAAATCTAGCCTGTCTCTTAAGACATGTGTAAACTTATGAACCAGTATGAAATAAGCTTAGTGACGTTACCTGATATCCAACCTCACTGGTGGCACCTGTCATGTAAAGACTGTCAAGTAGAATGTTTTTTTACAAGTAGTGGTGGTCCGACACAAACAATTCTGGCACACTTGTTTTCATTAACAAAATATTTCACAAGGCTGGTTTTGTCTGTTACATTTCATAAGCACTACAAACTCGTTCCAAGTCATGATTGAATTTATCTTCAAGACTCCAAGAAATTTATGTTCGTAACATACTTGTCATCCTTTAAAGATTTGAAATTCTGCCAAACCCAAGAACTACATGTTTGTTCCTTATTTTTTTGTGCATTAACAAATTTCATAAATAACACTATCCAATTTTTGTCCATGATTGATCGGTTGTAATGAAGCAATCATCAATTATGAGATTTTAACCAATTCCCAACACTAATAACAAGACATAATTTTTGTCGCTAATGTGTAATATTGTACATGTCCACTTCAAGTGTACGTTAGTCTAAAGCTGTTTGAATATTTTGCTGAGGCTGTGAATGTTGTAATCTTGACAAAAAACTTTTGAGCAAGAGTTTTATAGAGATCACAAACTTTATGGATGATCAACTTCTTTATTTTCACAATGGCGACGTTTCGGTATAGATTCTTTACTGTTTTCAAGCCTCTGCTATTGTGAAAATATGGAAGTTGGTCATCTCTATACCACCAACTTCTAGAATGCCACTCAAACAAATACGAGTTTTATGTCACTCTGTGAAACCTTTGTAGAAAGAGAAGTGTTTATCAGGGACCGTAATCCATTGTGTGGTGTCTGAATTATCAATACTTCAAAGATATTCTCTTTTTGTATTGACAATTATTGCAACTAAACTATCTCTAGTTAAACAGTCTCTAGTTAAATATTGCAGTATATAATGGTGTAGACAAACTTGATGGATAACAACTTCTTTATTTAATGAGTGTGACGTTTCAATACCGATTCTTGGACTGTTGTCAAGCAGGAATGAATTGTTCTCCATAAAGTTTGGGTATATTGTACTTACCTTCTCAATGCATCTCATAGAAGTGGTGACCTTGCAATGCCGCATATAGGTTATTTTGAGTTTGGCCATGCAGGGCTTTTATTAAGTTTTGTGAGACAAATATCTAACAGGAGTTTGTGATGGAACACCGGTTCATAGTAACCAGTGATTGTTGTAAGCAGTGTTCACGAATGGTGTTTCAAACTAACAGGACATTTGGTCCTGTAAGTTTCAGGTGTCTGCCTGACCCATTGAAAATTCACAGGACCCATAGAATAAAATTAAACACACATTTCAGATTTAACATTTCTTATAATTGGCATTGAAATTATTAACAAACATAAGATTTATGAACAGCAATAAACAGCAAACAAGTGTCACATGTCACATAAAACAACTTCAGTCAAAGTCATTGTGAAATATACAGTCAGACACTGGGACCGGCGGGTTGTAGACTTCTATCGGACCGTTGGCGAATCTGCCGGATTTGTCAGAGGGTCAGGCGCTATTCGTGAACACTGGTTGTAAGAGTGAGTGAGTATGGTATCATGTCGATTTTAGCAATATTCCAGCAATATCACGACTGGAAACACCAGAAATGGGCATCACACATTGTAACCATGTGGGGAATTTAACCCGGGTTTTCGGTGTGACGAGCGAACGCTTTAACCGCTAGGCTACCCCACTGTCCCAATTATTGTAAGGGGGATGAACAGGTGAGTCGGTGCTCACGATGTCAACCACTAAAATGCCAAGACTTGATCACATTCAGATGGATATAATAGAAACCTCCCTCACGCTTTCATCATAGACCTGTGAAGATCCTGGTTAGAATTACTCTACAGCAACCGATGCTTGTGGCAAGAGGGGTCTAACAGGATTCGTGGGCAGGCTTGTGGACTAGGTTGACACATGTCATCGTATCCCAGTTGTGTAGATCGATGCTCCTGCCAGGGCTCCAGATAAGGGCCGTATCGGCGTATGTTCGGATAAAAAATATGCACGATACGGTAGGAGATAATTTAGAAAACGTAGCAGATACGCACCACAGCAATGGTGTAGGGTCGTAGAATCATTTACAGATGTATTTATCTGAAAAATTGTTTTATTGTTTATTGACCTGTTTACACAAGAGTAGCAATGTTGTGGTGGATATATGAAACGAAACACAAGATTACTGATACTCCATTAATTTCCATTCAGTACTCTAAATGTACTCTTAAGGTTTTCCAGTACTCCTGTATTGAAAAAATAAGGAGTACGTACTCCTGATGTTGAAAAATTATCTGGAGCCCTGTCCTGCTGTTGATCACTTGATTGTCTGGTCCAGACTCGATTATTTACAGACTGCCACCATATAGCTGTAATATTGCTGAGTGCGGCGTTATACAAACAAACAAACAATACTACCTGAGATGATCAGCCTGATGGCAGTTTTTAGTTTATTCTGACTGTTAACTCTGTAATAAGATGAGTCAAGCTAACTGCCAAGCAAGCATGTCTTGTTTGATGGGCCAGATACGACCTCAGACATTTTTAAGGGTTTTTTAACAATTGGCTCGTAATTTTGAATGGTATTTATTGTTTTAGTGCTTATTGCAAATATTTAATCACATCTCACTAAACTGCTAAATAATGACTTAGTTCTCTAACATTTAACAGCTCCTTAAAATTTAATATTGATAGTTATGGAGTATGAAATGAACTATGATATTGATGACAATTCTAATAAATAATTACTAGAAATTATCTGCCGATGTAAAGTTTCAAGTACCAAGCTACATCAAGAATTATATATCATACATGTGTATTATGTATATCATGGCCGACCTTGTTTGTGCATCTTGGAAAACAACATAGTAAATTTGATGACTTCATATTTTCTCATTGTTACTTAGCTTATATTTTGCTGATTATGCTTTTTATATAACACTCAGCATTATATAAGCAGTAGGCTGTAATAAATAAGGGCTGAGTTTGATCTGTAATAAATAAGGGAACGGACATATTGTTTTTGCCTAACTTATAGTGGTGGTCCGATTAATTGAAATAATTGAAGATTGGTTGCTTTGACTAAACAACCAAGCAATAAATCATGTTTTCTCATAATTGAGACCGCCTCCGTGGTGTAGTGGTTAGAGGGTCCGCCCGGAGAGCGGAAGGTCGCGGGTTAGACCCCCGAACGCGTCATACCAAAAGACTTTAAAATATGGTACTTGTTGGTCCCTGCCTTGCGCTCGGCATTAATGGGTACAACAAGGACTGGTTGGCTCGGACTCAGTATAATGTGTCTGAGTGGGGTATTCATGCTTCACTGCGGCATGGTATCTCAGTGGGCTAGCACTATAAAACCAGCTTCAGTCTTGGCTAGTACAAGCAACCGCACATACGCATACACACGCATGAGCGAAATATTCTCAAGCACGACGTAAAACCCAATTTCACCTCACCTCACCTCATAATTGAACACAAGCAATTTTGGAACACCTGTTTGCATCAGCAACATTGTTCACAAGTTTGTTTTGTCTGTTACATTTCATAAGCACTACAAACTCATTCCTTGTCATGATTGAATTTATCTTAAAGACTCCAAGAAATTTATGTTCCTAACATACTAGTCACCCTTTAAGATGTGAAATTTGTAAATGCATTTTGTGCAATTTGCAAAAAACCCCAGTGTTTTTTCTATATTTTTTGTGCATTAACAAACATAACCAGGAAAATTTGATAAATGACCCTAACCAATTATTTTCAATGATTGATCGGTTGTAATGAAGCAATCATCAATAATGAGATTTTAACCAATTCCCAACACTACTAACTTACATCTACCAAGAGTGGGGCAGTGGGGTAGCCTAATGGTTAAAGCATTGGCTGGTTAAAGACCTGGGTTCGAATCCCCACATGGGCACAATGTGTGAAGCCCATTTCTGGTGTCCCCTGCCGTGATGTTGCTGGAATATTGCTGAAAGTGGCGTGAAACCAAACTCAGTCAGTCAGTCAGTCTACATAGAGTCTGACCAAGCATACACCTCGTATGATAAGCATGGGTTGCTGAAGATCAGCCCTAACCACCCTGAGGGGAGGTGGGGTAGCCTAGTGGTTCGCACGTCACACCGAGGACCAGGGATCGATTTCCTACATGGGTACAATATGTAATCCCATTTCCGGTGTGCCCCCACTGTGATATTGCTGAAAAAAGCCTAAAAGCGGCGTAAAACTAAACTCACTCACTCTAACCACCCTGATCATGGGAGGGCGGGTGGGGATGAGGACATGTTTAGAGTATAAACATAACAAATGATATGTCAAATTATGAAAGAACTTCATGGGTATATTTTTCTGTATATATGAACTGTGCCATTCAAACATTCTATTTTAGATTCACTATGCAGAAAATTTGAACTACACTACTGCAGTATTCAACCCAATTAAATGTGTTCTATTTCTGTAATGTCAAATGAATGGTTTTTCTTAAGGCCAGATGTACACATATGAATAGTTTATTTGATAAATCGTGAGTCATTAATTTAAAAACACAGCTTTCAGATCAGTGTATTTTCAAACACTCTCAGTGATTGTCATCTAAAATACCCCACAGATTTTTAAAACCAATTTGGTACCTGCAGTGATTATTGAAGCATCGTCTGTGAAAAGTTGATTATATAATGAAAAAGTCCTAATGACAAGCAGTGTCAGTGTTCTCCCAGTTGAATTGTCAGAGATGAGCTGTAGGGCATTAATCGCCTGGCAAGTTGTCCACGTGACAAAATCGGCTTACTGACTTCTGAGAGTTCAGTGGTATTGTACTGAACTGATTTTGTTTGTAGTTGTAGGCGGCTTGGAGTTATCATCAAATATAGCCAGTCTTTCTCAAAATGGCTTATTATTGTTAGAATGGCAAATTTAATGTATACTCAGTACCAAACCACATGCAAATCATGTAACACTGTGACACAGCGGTGAATAAAGAGATTTATGTTTTATTATGAAAACATGCAAAGAATGAGTGAGTGAGTTGGGTTTTAAGCAATATTTAGCAATATTCTACCAGCAATATCACACCAGAAATGGGCTTTACACATTGTACCCAAGTGGGGAATTGAACCCGGATCCTCGGCTTGATGGGGTGGTGGGGTAGCCTAGTGGTTAAAGCGTTGGCTCGTCACGCTGAATACTCGAGTTCGAGTCCCTACGTGGGTATAATGTGTGAAGCCCATTTCTGGTGTTCCCCGTCGTGATATTGCTGAAATATCGCTAAAAGCAGTGTAAAACCATACTCACTCACTTCAGTGTGCTGAGCGAACGCTTTAACCAAGAGGCAACCCCACCCCCAACATGTAAAGAAAACAACTTTAAGGTAAACACACAAATGATCTTTGTTCATAACAAGATGTGTTTTGTGATAATGGCAATATGAGGGTGTTAGATTTCAGCATTTGGTAATGTCACTTCAAGATCTTGAAAAATAATATTTCAGTATCGAGTATTTAGTATATAAGACCCCTTCAAATGATAACCTTTTAAAACACTTCACTGGATTAACATTCTATAAAGTGTAAAAGACAGAACTGCGTGACAAGAGTAAACTCAAGGATTTAACATAAATTCAGAATAAGTGTTTGACAGGGGTGTGTCTCAGAACTGAAGTAATTAATTTCTATGTAACATCATATTTTTTAATACAGTCCCTTACTATATGAATACTGATGTTTGTGAGTCCACTAAAGTCAGTAATTTTACATTTTCAGAATCAAGTTTTTTGCATGGGGTGTGTCTCACAACTGAAAGAAATAATTTTCATATCTAACATCATACTTTAGAACTGGTCCTTTAGTTTCACTATTACCAATGTTTGGGATAATGATACTGATGATACTGATACTGATGATACTGATACTGATGATACTGATACTGATGATACTGATACTGATGATAATGATGATACTGATGATAATTAAACTGATAATACTGATGATAATTATACTGATGATACTGATGATGATACAGATGATAATGATACTGATGATACTGATACTGATGATACCGATACTGATGATGATACTGATGATAATGATACTGATGATACTGATGATGATAATTGATGATAATGATATACTGATATATGATGATACTGATGATGATACTGATGATAATGATACTGATGATACTGATGATGATATTGATACTGATGATGATAATGATACTGATGATACTGATACCTATGATAATGATACTGATGATAATTATACTGCTGATAATTATACTGATACTGATGATACTGATACTGATGATAATTATACTGATGATACAGATGATAATGATACTGATGATAATACTGATAATGATACTGATGATACTGATGATGATATTGATACTGATGATGATAATGATACTGATGAATGATACTGATACTGATGATACTGATACTGATGATAATTATACTGATGATAATGATAACTGATGATACTGATACTGATGATAATTATACTGATGATACTAATGATAATGATACTGATGATAATACTGATAATGATACTGATGATAATGATACTGATGATACCGATACTGATGATGATAATGATACTGATGACACTGATGATGATGATAATGATACTGATGATAATGATGATGATAATGATACTGATGATAATGGTGCTGCTGATAATGATACTGATGATACTGATACTGATGATACTGATACTGATGATAATGATACTGATGATGATATTGATACTGATGATGATAATGATACTGATGATAATGATACTGATACTGATGATACTGATACTGATGATAATTATACTGATGATAATGATACTGATGATACTGATACTGATGATAATTATACTGATGATACTGATGATAATGATACTGATGATAATACTGATAATGATACTGATGATACTGATACTGATGATACCGATACTGATGATGATAATGATACTGATGACACTGATGATGATGATAATGATACTGATGATAATGATGATGATAATGATACTGATGATAATGGTGCTGCTGATAATGATACTGATGATACTGATACTGATGATACTGATACTGATGATAATGATACTGATGAATGATACTGATGATAATGATACTGATGATAATGATACTGATGATAATGATACTGATGATAATGATGATAATAATACTGATGACTGACTGACTGACTGAGTAGAGTTTTACGCCGCTTTTAGCAATATTCCAGCAATATCCGATACACACCAGATGATGCTTAACACATTGTGCCCATAATGATGATCGAACCGGGTCCTCATGACAAGCGATACCGAACCACTAGGCTACCCAACCGCCCCTAATACTGATGATAATGATACTGATGATAATGATACTGATGATACTGATGATAATAATACTGATGATAATGATGATGATAATGATACTGATGATACTGATGATAATAATACTGATGATAATGATGATGATAATGATACTGATGATACTGATGATAATAATGCTGATGATAATGATGATGATAATGATGATGATAATGATACTGATGATAATGATGATACTGATACTGATGATACTGATACTGATGATAATGATACTGATGAATGATACTGATGATAATGATACTGATGATAATGATACTGATGATAATGATACTGATGATACTGATGATAATAATACTGATGATAATGATGATGATAATGATGATGATAATGATGATGATAATGATACTGATGATAATGATGATACTGATGATAGTGATGATAATGATGAGGATGATACTGATACTAATGATAAATGATACTGATGATGATACTGATGATAATGATACTGATAATGATGATAATGATACTGGTGATAATGATGATACTGATGATACTGATGATAATGATACTGATAATGATGATGATAATGATACTGATGATAATGATGATAATGATACTGATGATAATGATACTGATGATAATGATACTGATAATGATGATGATAATGATACTGATGATAATGATACTGATGATATTGATGATATTGATGCTGATGAAAATGATGATGATAATGATACTGATTATAATGATAATGATGATACTGATACTGATGATGATGATACTGCCCCTGTAGCTAAAATATTACGATACAAAACACAACTTGATATGTACCGATAAAAATACACAGTAAACATCCACATACTTTTTGTCTAAAGTGTTCCAGATTCAACATCAAGTTGATCAATTCGTTTGATACAGTACTCCTAAATATCATGGCTGTGTCTAAGCTTCTAAATTAATTTTACGAGTCAGCAGTGCATCTAATCAGAGTATATGATATCTATAGCTCATGATTAATAAACTTGTATCAACAGAGATCTGAAATAATCAGGTAGTTTTTTAAAGATAATAATGTAGTATAATTATTGCATGAATTCACTGAAATCGGTTATCTGTATTATGTGAAAGGTTGCTGGTGATAAATCCAATTGTGCTATATAACATGACTGAGATATCAGCTACTTGTCATAACAATTATAAACAACTTGACTGATATGTTCATAATTCTGTTTATATTCATAGTAAGAAGAGATAAAATGATTGCAAATTTAGTTGCAAGGTGTTCTGGATCCTATTTCGTCAGGAATTGGTGACAATGTTAGGCTGTTCAAAAATGTTTATTTATAAACGAGACAAATGGTTTGCTAGATATAAATGTGAAAAATAAAGCTTCAAGCCAATGCTAATGACAATAATGGCCATTTATAAAGCACCTGTTTCCATGAATACATATTCGCCCAAAAAAAACACGACAAGAAGAAATGTAAACTTCTTTGAGTGTCATTTTAGAAGTTGGGAAGTACAATATAGAACAAACTTTATGGATAACAACTTCTTTTTATTCGTGAGTGCGACGTTTCGATACAGATGCTTGACAACGGTACAAGAATCTGTATCGAAATCGTCTCACTCACGAATAAAAAGAAGTTGTTATCCATAAAGTTTGTTCTATAAAGAAGAAATGTAAACCTGATAATTTGGAAATCTGCTGTTGGAGGTATGTGAAATTAAAGCTTTCTCAGAATTCAGTTGACTACTAGTTTATGGTCAAACTACTAATTTTATCGTCAAACTACTAATTTTATCGTCAAACTACTAATTTTGATCCTTGAAACTACTAATTGCAACACTTTGGAGTTGGTATCTGATTATTACCCCAGATAACCCAAGCTGCCTGTGAGTTGCTAGAAGGTTAACAGTCATGTGACTTATCCCACCAGGTACCCATTCACTGCTGGATGAACAGAGGCATTTCATGAACAAACTCACTTGACTAAGGTGAGACCACATGTGTCACTTGTACTTCGTTGTGGGCAGGACCGATGTCCTAGAAACTCTCAGGAGTCAAGCTGCTAAACATGGTCACCCATCCAAGGACTGTCCGCGCCCAATGTTGCTTAACTTCAACTGATTCGTGACTTGGACTCTATGCACAGGACCACACACCACCGCTTTAATGTTGCCAATATTTCTAAAGATATAACACGAATCCAAAGTCATTTGATCTTTTTCAGGTCTTAAATTGTCATCACAAACATATGTACAGTGACAGGAATGGCATCCTTCTGGCAAAATGTGACGAGATACTACCAGGATAGTCTGAACAGGGGAGGTAAGTCTTAAATCCCATGTCAGGATCTGCTAATGTTGGTTCCCTGTTGCTACAGTAAATGACTCTTAACTGTTTGAACCCATGTATCCCTGTAATGCATATGAATGGAATCTTGTGAATTGTATTCATGTGTTTGTAAAATATTACTATTGAAATGTTATGGGTAGTCAAATTGTGATATTTCACCCAAAAGGCCCATTTTCTAATGTCTGGCAAGGGGGTAGCCTAGTGGTTAGAGCTTCTGTTCATCACGCTGAAGTGAGTGAGTGAGTTTAGTTTTACGCCGCACTCAGCAATATTCCAGCTATATGGCGGCGGTCTGTAAATAATCGAATCTGAACCAGACAATTCGGTGAACAACAGCATGAGCATCGATCTACGCAATTGGGAACCTTTGACGTGTCAACCAAGTCAGCGAGCCTGACCACCCGATGCCGTTAGTCGCCTCTTACGACAAGCATTAGGTTACTGAAGATCAATATTCTAACCCGGACCTTCATGGGTTTGTCACGCTGAAGACTCGGGTTTGATTCGCTACGTGGGTACAATGTGCGAAGCCCATTTCTGGTGTCCCTTGCCGTGATATTGCTGGAAGTTTGCTAAAAGCTGTGTTAAATCATGCTCACGCACTCATGACTGGTCAGTTTTTTTCGATGAGTATTGAGGACCCATACCCTTTCATTTGTATTGTGTATTCATTCTTCCATGCAGCAATCAAAATCGCTACTGGCCTGCTGGCCAAATGCTAGCTGATTGTGAATTGGGCCAATAATAAACGTGTATTGTTAAAGCTATCCCGAATGGCTAGCTGAAAATCTCTGATAATTTGTGCTTTATTTAACGCACATAAACATGATGAAGTGAATTATTAAGGTGTTAAAAGTCTGTCCGCCAAAGTTTTGCGATATTTATTATCTCTTGTCACGCGATGATCGCTATATAAAAAATGTTAATAGCATTGCGCAAAAGAGGTTAGGAGCCATTACAAGTACCAAACATCACACCAATTCTGACTGATGTGCATTTATATATTGATAGTTTGCAGGGCCAGTGAAGTATGATGTGGGTTAGCAACATCTTTACTTAACTAGCCCTCCTGGCCAGTGACTCAAAATTAATTCATACACAGCTTCCATGTATGTTGTGTACTGCAGACCCCCGTGTGTCCGGCTGGCTGTTGATGGACTCCCCTGTCCCCAGTGTCGTCTTCTTCCTACTGTACCTGCTGGTGGTATGGCTGGGTCCGCGCATCATGGCCAGCCGGGAACCTGTCAGTCTGAAGGTACTCCTCATCCCCTACAACTTCGGTCTTGTGGCTCTCTCATGCTACATGTTTTATGAGGTGAGTGGAGGCTTGTGTGACAACATTGATCTGGAAAACCTATCTGGATAAAATGACCAGGCTTCATACCAGTATCAGTTCTGACAACAGAACTCTCTCCTTCTGTACCTCTGATTGTTGGCCTTCATGTGACGTAAAGGATTGTCAAGAGTCTGTAAACATATCTCAAACCTTCATTAATGCTAGACACAGGTCTGTATGTTAGACACAGACCTTGAGTAATGTCAGACGCAGACGTTGAGTAATGTCAGACACAGACCATGAGTAATGTCAGACATAGACCTTGAGTAATGTCAGACTCAGACCATGAGTAATGTTAGACACAGACCATGAGTAATGTTAGACACAGACCTTGAGTAATGTCTGACACAGACCTTGAGTAATGTCAGACACAGACCTTGAGTAATGTCAGACACAGACCTTGAGTAATGTCAGACACAGACCTTGAGTAATGTCAGACACAGACCTTGAGTAATGTCAGACACAGACCTTGAGTAATGTCAGACACAGACCTTGAGTAATGGTAGACACAGACCTTGAGTAATGTTAGACACATACCTTGAGTAATGTCAGACACAGACCTTGAGTAATGTCAGACACAGACCTTGAGTAATGGTAGACACAGACCTTGAGTAATGTTAGACACAGACCTTGAGTAATGTTAGACACAGACTTTGAGTAATGTCAGACACAGACCTTGAGTAATGTCAGACTCAGACCTTGAGTAATGTTAGACACAGACCTTGAGTAATGTTAGACACAGACCTTGAGTAATGTCAGACACAGACCTTTAGACACAGACCTTGAGTAATGTCAGACACAGACCTTGAGTAATGGTAGACACAGACCTTGAGTAATGTTAGACACAGACCTTGAGTAATGTCAGACACAGACCCTGAGTAATGTCAGATACAGACCTTGAGTAATGTCAGACACAGACCTTGAGTAATGTCAGACACAGACCTTGAGTAATGGTAGACACAGACCTTGAGTAATGTTAGACACATACCTTGAGTAATGTCAGACACAGACCTTTAGACACAGACCTTGAGTAATGTCAGACACAGACCTTGAGTAATGGTAGACACAGACCTTGAGTAATGTTAGACACAGACCTTGAGTAATGTCAGACACAGACCTTGAGTAATGTCAGGCATTGAGACCTTGAGTAATGTCAGACACAGACCTTGAGTAATGTCAGACACAGACCTTGAGTAATGTCAGACACAGACCTTGAGTAATGTCAGACACAGACCTTGAGTAATGTCAGACACAGACCTTGAGTAATGGTAGACACAGACCTTGAGTAATGTTAGACACATACCTTGAGTAATGTCAGACACAGACCTTTAGACACAGACCTTGAGTAATGTCAGACACAGACCTTGAGTAATGGTAGACACAGACCTTGAGTAATGTTAGACACAGACCTTGAGTAATGTTAGACACAGACTTTGAGTAATGTCAGACACAGACCTTGAGTAATGTCAGACTCAGACCTTGAGTAATGTTAGACACAGACCTTGAGTAATGTCAGACACAGACCTTGAGTAATGTCAGACACAGACCTTTAGACACAGACCTTGAGTAATGTCAGACACAGACCTTGAGTAATGGTAGACACAGACCTTGAGTAATGTTAGACACAGACCTTGAGTAATGTCAGACACAGACCTTGAGTAATGTCAGACACAGACCTTGAGTAATGTCAGACACAGACCTTGAGTAATGTCAGACACAGACCTTGAGTAATGGTAGACACAGACCTTGAGTAATGTTAGACACAGACCTTGAGTAATGTCAGACACAGACCTTGAGTAATGTCAGACACAGACCTTGAGTAATGTCAGACACAGACCTTTAGACACAGACCTTGAGTAATGTCAGACACAGACCTTGAGTAATGGTAGACACAGACCTTGAGTAATGTTAGACACAGACCTTGAGTAATGTCAGACACAGACCTTGAGTAATGTCAGACGCAGACCTTGAGTAATGTCTGACACAGACCTTGAGTAATGTCAGACTCAGACCTTGAGTAATGTCAGACACAGACCTTGAGTAATGTCAGACACAGACCTTGAGTAATGTTAGACACAGACCTTGAGTAATGTTAGACACAGACTTTGAGTAATGTCAGACACAGACCTTGAGTAATGTCAGACTCAGACCTTGAGTAATGTCAGACACAGACCTTGAGTAATGTTAGACACAGACCTTGAGTAATGTCAGACACAGACCTTTAGACACAGACCTTGAGTAATGTCAGACACAGACCTTGAGTAATGGTAGACACAGACCTTGAGTAATGTTAGACACAAACCTTGAGTAATGTCTGACACAGACCTTGAGTAATGTCAGACTCAGACCTTGAGTAATGTTAGACACAGACCTTGAGTAATGTTAGACACAGACCTTGAGTAATGTCAGACACAGACCTTGAGTAATGTTAGACACAGACCTTGAGTAATGGTAGTCACAGACCTTGAGTAATGGTAGACATAGACCTTGAGTAATGGTAGACACAGACCATGAGTAATGTTAGTCACAGACCTTGAGTAATGTCAGACACAGACCATGAGTAATGTTAGACACAAACCTTGAGTAATGTCAGACACTGACCATGAGTAATGTTAGACACAGACCTTGAGTAATGTAAGACACAGACCTTGAGTAATGGTAGACACAGACCTTGAGTAATGCTAGACATAGACCTTGAGTAATGTCAGACACAGACTATGAGTAATGTCAGACACAGACCTTGAGTAATGTCAGACACAGACCTTAAGTAATGGTAGACACAGACCTTAAGTAATGGTAGACACAGACCTTGAGTAATGTTAGACACATACCTTGAGTAATGTCTGACACAGACCTTGAGTAATGTTGGACACAGACCTTGAGTAATGTCAGACACAGACCTTGAGTAATGGTAGACACACGTCTTTATGTCAAACAGACCATTTTTTAAACTCTTGTTAATGCAGAAAGAGTTTTCTGAGATCTGAAATGTAATTTTTGTATAAAAAATTCAAATATTTCAAGTTAATGTTTCTCATCAATGTGCACATTATGTATCTTCTTTTCCAGTTTGTGGTCACATCTGTTTTGTCTGAGTACAGTTATCTCTGTCAGCCAGTTGATTACTCCTACAGTCCTTTAGCACTGCGGGTAAGTGTACAGCTATCTCTGTCAACCAGTTGATTACTCCTACAGTCCTTTAGCACTGCGGTAAGTGTACAACTATCTCTGTCAACCAGTTGATTACTCCCACAGTCCTTTAGCACTGCAGGTAAGTGTACAACTATCTCTGTCAACCAGTTGATTACTCCTACAGTCCTTTAGCACTGCGGGTAAGTGTACAGCTATCTCTGTCAACCAGTTGATTACTCCTACAGTCCTATAGCACTGCGGGTAAGTGTACAGCTATCTCTGTCAACCAGTTGATTACTCCTACAGTCCTTTAGCACTGCGGGTAAGTGTACAGCTATCTCTGTCAACCAGTTGATTACTCCTACAGTCCTATAGCACTGCGGGTAAGTGTACAACTATCCTCTGTCAAACCAGTTTATTACTCCTACAGTCCTTTAGCACTGCGGGTAAGTGTACAACTATCTCTGTCAACCAGTTGATTACTCCTACAGTCCTATTGCACTGCGGGTAAGTGTACAGCTATCTCTGTCAACCAGTTGATTACTCCTACAGTCCTTTAGCACTGCGGGTAAGTGTACAGCATCTCTGTCAACCAGTTGATTAACAGTCCTGTAGCACTGCAGCTATCTCTGTCAACCAGTTGATTACTCCTACAGTCCTTTAGCACTGCGGGTAAGTGTACAACTATCTCTGTCAACCAGTTGATTACTCCTACAGTCCTTTAGCACTGTGGTAAGTGTACAGCTATCTCTGTCAACCGGTTGATTACTCCTACAGTCCTTTAGCACTGCGGGTAAGTGTACAACTATCTCTGTCAACCAGTTGATTACTCCTACAGTCCTTTAGCACTGCGGGTAAGTGTACAGCTATCTCTGTCAACCAGTTGATTACTCCTACAGTCCTATAGCACTGCGGGTAAGTGTACAACTATCTCTGTCAACCAGTTTATTACTCCTACAGTCCTTTAGCACTGCGGTTAAGTGTACAACTATCTCTGTCAACCAGTTGATTACTCCTACAGTCCTATAGCACTGCGGGTAAGTGTACAGCTATCTCTGTCAACCAGTTGATTACTCCTACAGTCCTGTAGCACTGCGGGTAAGTGTACAGCTATCTCTGTCAACCAGTTGATTACTCCTACAGTCCTTTAGCACTGCAGGTAAGTGTACAACTATCTCTGTCAACCAGTTGATTAATCCTACAGTCCTTTAGCACTGTGGTAAGTGTACAGCTATCTCTGTCAACCGGTTGATTACTCCTACAGTCCTTTAGCACTGCGGGTAAGTGTACAACTATCTCTGTCAACCAGTTGATTACTCCTACAGTCCTTTAGCACTGCGGGTAAGTGTACAACTATCTCTGTCAACCAGTTGATTACTCCTACAGTCCTTTAGCACTGCGGGTAAGTGTACAACTATCTCTGTCAACCAGTTGATTACTCCTACAGTCCTATAGCACTGCGGGTAAGTGTACAATTATCTCTGTCAACCGGTTGATTACTCCTACAGTCCTATAGCACTGCGGGTAAGTGTACAATTATCTCTGTCAACCAGTTGATTACTCCTACAGTCCTATAGCACTGCGGGTAAGTGTACAACTATCTCTGTCAACCAGTTGATTACTCCTACAGTCCTGTAGCACTGTGGGTAAGTGTACAGCCATCTCTGTGGGTAAGTCTCTTTCCTGGCAGTCAACTTCTAAGTTGATTTTAGTTTTACCAGATTGTCACTGTCTGACACAACACTTTCAATTCTAACATATTTCCTGTGTATTTCAGAATGTTTTAACCTTAAGGGAGTGAAGTTGTAATATTTGTTGTGCACAGTTCTGCCCCTTTGGCATAGCAGAATCCTATGGTCGTATACTCATGGAAACAAATAAGGGAACACATGAAAGTACAAGAGTTCCTTTATTCTTTTCCAGGTTTCTTCACAAGATATGTATTGCACTGTGGGTGAAATTCTGGAAATAGATAAAGGAACACTTGTACTTTCATGTGTTCCCTTATTTGTTTCCATGAGTATATTTTCGAATCCCCCTTGCCTGCAATATTTTCATGATGTTTCTGACAAGAATAATACATGGATGTCTGTTCAATAGAGCTTAGTGTCATTAACTGACCTGTTACTCTATGTCAAGATTTTCATTGAATGGCCTTTGTTGTGTAGGAAAACTGGGTTAAACTGTAGTGTAAGCAGGGGCAAGGGGGTTCATAAGGGATATTCAAACAATACGTACCACATATAGAATAACTGTGTACCGGATTGTCTTGTAGCACATTGTTTCACTTGCTCTACTACGGGACAACTTTTTGACCTGGGTTACTGTTCATCGTAGCGCTAGATACATTGGGTAGGTCACGTGGTTGGCGCTAAATATGTTGGGTAAGCTCTGATTGGCAGAGACGTCCGCCATCAGTAGATGAACTCTGACCTATGTTATAGGTCGTTCTAGAGCACCATATAAGTGACCAGGGCCTATATTTTCGAAGCTCTCTTAACGCTAAGATAGTCGTAAGTGCCATACATTAACATTAACTTACGACTATCTTAGCGCTAAGGGAGCCTCGAAAATCTAGGCCCTGGTTCTCTGGATTCAGTGTCTAGCTTTCGATCAATCGAGCAACATCAGGTCTCCTTCTCAAGATCCTGTTTCAGGATTATTCCCTCCCCGTTAAAGAGTGGAATGTTAGGTCTTATGTAGGGGGATGCTAGGTTCCTTATATTAGTGTTAGGCCAGGTTGGGGGAAAAGTAGCAGTTGTAATCATTGTTAGACAAGATTTCTTTCTCTTTATTCTTTATTGATTTTCTTTGCAAGTATGCGGGGTTGAAGCAGACGATATTAATCAAATATTAAAATGTTTGCTTGGGGCTAAGTTACAAAACACAAACTAAATATCTTAAATATCATGTTCCTTTAAACATGCATGCAATCTCCCATCTGCTTATATTTCTTCAAATATATCTCTTGTATCTTGAGTTTAGAGGAAAATTTCTTTTACTTTTTGAAAATTTAATGTAGGTGAATTCATAAAAATAAGAAACTAATTAGTGGTATGTTGTGATTTTATAAATTGCAAGTTGAATTGCTGATTAATGAAATTGCTGATTTCTACAGACCGTGTTCCATTAAATGATCATTTGCCCATCTTAGCTCTTACACTTTATCAGTTGAAGCACTGAGATTGAAATGCAGAAAGGGCCACAATGCCCCTGTTCTACAAAGCGATATTATAGCCTTTTAATGTATACTTACTACAGACTTTGCATTAAGAACGTGATGTGGGAAGAGTTCCAAAACCTTTGTACAAAGTGATCTTATCGCAAGATGATCGTAACTGATACTTTAATGTTTATTTACGATAGACTATGAACTGAGATCGTTATGTGGTAAGGATCCGAGTGCCTTTGTTGTGCAAAGTGATCTTAGTGCAATATGATCGTAACTGATACTTTAATGTTTATTTACGATAGACTATGAACTGAGATCGTTATGTGGTAAGGATCCGAGTGCCTTTGTTGTGCAAAGTGATCTTAGTGCAATATGATCGTAACTGATACTTTAATGTTTATTTACGATAGACTATGAACTGAGATCGTTATGTGGTAAGGATCCGAGTGCCTTTGTTGTGCAAAGTGATCTTAGTGCAATATGATCGTAACTGATACTTTAATGTTTATTTACGATAGACTATGAACTGAGATCGTTATGTGGTAAGGATCCGAGTGCCTTTGTTGTGCAAAGCGATCTTAGTGCAATATGATCGTAACTGATACTTTCATGGATACCTAGAAACACTTTGCGCTAAGATCGATATGTGGGAAAGATCCCAGTGCCTTTGTGGTATAAACCTATCTTACCGCAAAATGATCGTAACTGATACGTATATTTATGACACACTTTGCTAAGATGGTTAATAGAGAGGGTCTCAGAGTCCTTGTTTTACAAAACAATCTGACCGTAGAAGGTCAGTGTTAAAGAACACGGTGCCGTCATACAAAGCTATCTTAGTGCTAAGGTGATCGTAACTCCCATATCATAACATAGCCTTACACCTGGCGTAGCGCTACGGTTGCTTTGTTCAACGCCACCCAGGACTTGGAACCATGTCAGTGCCAACATTGCTTTGTTGAAAGGGTCCCGGTATTGTGTGTTCATGCAAAGAAGTGCTGTCTGCGAATGTGTTCATGCAAAGAAGTGCTGTCTGCGAATGTGTTAAGTGCTGTTTTTGTTTCTGCTTCATATGATCAGATATCTGATGAATTGATGGAGCCTCCTGATGAAGCACCCATCGATCAGTGATTTGTTGACCATATTAATCTGGAGGTTCCGTCCGTAATTGCCTATTCCCTCACCGAGATAATGTGAATAACCTACTTCAAAATATAACCGCTTGTCCTCTTACCACGCCTACTCTGTTTAATGAAGCGAACACTGTTTGCTGATATAGTGCAGTGATGTTTGTCGCAGTTTAAATCAGAATTGATTCTCCTCAGTGTATGTTTGATCAGCGAGATACTGGTGTATAATCACACCATCAGTGTCACCTGACCTGACACTGTTGTCACAGCGCCACCTAGGAAGAGTTCTGATGCTTGCCGATTATGACAATTACCCGACCACTTTCATCTTGTTTGCCAAACTAACCTTGTATTTTGTGACCAAACATTCATTATCAGGATTATTGTGGTCGAAGCTAACCATGGAATTACTGTTTTGTGAGATATTCATGATGCCTGTTATGTTTTAATGTCTATTTGCCACCTTTGTAGGAAACCCTCTTGTAGCCAGTTGTGTTCCATACTAATCACATCATTAGCTCTCTGGCTGTTAGATCGGGGCTTGATATAATTGCGTTTGTGATTTAAACCGAAATAACAGTCGTTTCATCTTGTTGATGCTTCTCCAGACATTATGATGTCGTGATCCAGGTTGACCATCGTTGTGAGTTGATGACGATACGGCGCTTGTATCTTGAGGCATAGTTTCAAGCTTGAAGACATTTATCTATACTTGAGACATGTTTATGAAGCTATTGATTGGGCCGTCTCAGATCATGTTGAACCAGCAGCCTGACTAGCCACCCTTCCAGCCACTGCCTACGCCACCACCAGGGAACCAACAACCCTGACTAGCCACCCTTCCAACCACTACCCTACGCCTACACCAGGAACCAACAACCCTGACTAGCCACCCTTCCAACCTACCCTCAAGCCACCACCAGGAACCAGCAACCTGACTAGCCACCCTTCCCCACCACTGCCCTCGCCACCACCAGGAACCAACAGCCTGACTAGCCACCCTTCCACCCTGCCCTATGCCACCACCAGGAACCAACAACCCTGACTAGCCACCCTTCCAGCACCGCTGCCCTCGCCACCACAGGAACAGCAACCCTGACTAGCCACCCTTCCCACCACTACCCTACGCCACCACCGGGAACCAACAACCCTGACTAGCCACCCTTCCACCCACTGCCTCACCACCTGGGAACCAGCAACCTGACTAGCCACCCTTCCAGCCCACTGCCCTCATACCACCAGGAACCAGCAGCCCTGACCTTAGCCACCCTTCCAGCCACTGCCCTCGCCACCACCCGGGAACCAGCAACCTGACTGGCCACCCTTCCCACCCCTGCCCTGCGCCACCACCCAGGGACCGGCAGCCTGACTGGCCGCCCCTTCTTGCCACTGCCCTGCATGCGCCACCAGGAACCAACAGCCTGACTAGCCACCCTTCCAGCCACTGCCCTATGCCACCACCACTGAACCAACAAAACAATTGACTGGCCCACCCTTCTCAGCCACTGCCCTACAGCCACCACCGGGAACCAACAGCCCTGACTAGCCACCCTTGCTTCTAATAGGTAGTAATAGCCGAAAAATGTGTCTCAGGAACAGTCTATTTCCTTTCCCAGCAAAATAATTAATCTTGCAGTATTGCCCTGCATGCCAGGAACCAGGTAACCCTGACTAGCCACTTCCAGCCACCCTCCCCGCACCATGAATGAAGAGTAGCTGGACAATGCAAAAACAATTGTCCAAATGTGCCTCAAGTAGTAAACTCTCCTCGTATGTTGGTTTAAGTGGGTGGAGTGGGGTAGTGGTTAGAAAATTGTTAGTTCCTGAGTGATTGAGACGTAAGTCCAGTGGTTGGAAGGTAGCTAGTAGAATTGTGTGTCCCAGGATAGTGGTGGGAAGGGTGGCTAGTCAGAGCTAGTGTTTTGGTAAAACAGTGGTTGGAGTGTTGGCTTGTCAGGATGTTGGTTCCTGGTAATTGGGTAGAATAGTGGTTGGTGTGTTGGCTTGTCAGGGCTGTTGGTTTGTGGTGGTGGCGTAGGATAGTGGTTGGAGTGTCGGCTTGTCAGGGCTGTTGGTTCCTGTTGGTTGGGTAGGATAGTGGTTGGAATGTTGCTAGTCAGGGTTGTTGGTTCCTGGTGGTTGAGTAGGATAGTGGTTTGAGTATTGCTAGTCAGGGTTGTTGGTTCCTGTTGGTGGGGTAGGATAGTGGTTGGAGTGTTGCTAGTCAGGGTTGATGGTTCCTGGTGGTGGTGTAGGATAGTGGTTGGAGCGTTGCTAGTCAGGGTTGTTGGTTCCTGTTGGTGGGGTAGGATAGTGGTTGGAGTGTTGCTAGTCAGGGTTGATGGTTCCTGGTGGTGGTGTAGGGTAGTAGTTGGAGTGTTGGCTTGTCAGGGTTGTTGGTTCCTGGTGGTGGGGTAGGATAGTGGTTGGAGTGTTGGCTAGTCAGGGTTGTTGGTTCCTGGTGGTGGGGTAGGATACTGGTTAGAGTGTTGGCTTGTCAGGGTTGTTGGTTCCTGATGGTGGCGTAGGGTAGTAGTTGGAGTGTCGGCTTGTCAGAGCTGGTGGTGGGGTAGGATACTGGTTAGAGTGTTGGCTTGTCAGGGTTGTTGGTTCCTGGTGGTGTCATAGGGTAGTAGTTGGAGTGTTGGCTTGTCAGGGCTGTTGGTTCCTGGTGGTGGCGTAGGGTATGGGTTGGAAGGGTGGCTAGTCAGGGTTGTTGGTTCCTGGTGGTGGCGTAGGGTATGGGTTGGAAGGGTGGCTAGTCAGGGTTGTTGGTTCCTGGTGGTGGCGTAGGGTAGTGGTTGGAAGGGTGGCTAGTCAGGGTTGTTGGTTCCTGGTGGTGGCGTAGGGTAGTGGTTGGAAGGGTGACTAGTCAGTGTTGTTGGTTCCTGGTGCTGGCGTAGGGTAGTGGTGGGAAGTGTGGCTAGTCAGGGTTGTTGGTTCCTGGTGGTGGTGTAGGGTAGTGGTTGGACGGTTGGCTAGACAGAGCTAGTGGTTGGGTAGGATAGTGTTTGGAAGGTTGGCTAGTCCGAGCTGGAGGTGGGATAGGATAGTGGTGGGAAGGGTGGCTAGTCAGAGCTAGTGTTTTGCTAAAACAGTGGTTGGAGTGTTGGCTTGTCAGGGATGTTGGTTCCTGGTAATTGGGTAGAATAGTGGTTGGTGTGTTGGCTTGTCAGGGCTGTTGGTTTGTGGTGGTGGCGTAGGATAGTGGTTGGAGTGTCGGCTTGTCAGGGCTGTTGGTTCCTGTTGGTTGGGTAGGATAGTGGTTGGAATGTTGCTAGTCAGGGTTGTTGGTTCCTGGTGGTTGAGTAGGATAGTGGTTTGAGTATTGCTAGTCAGGGTTGTTGGTTCCTGTTGGTGGGGTAGGATAGTGGTTGGAGTGTTGCTAGTCAGGGTTGATGGTTCCTGGTGGTGGCGTAGGGTAGTAGTTGGACCGTTGGCTTGTTAGGCCTGTTGGTTCCTGGTGGTGGTGTAGGGTAGTGGTTGGTGTGTTGGCTTGTCACGGTTGTTGGTTCCTGATGTTGGGTTAGGATAGTGGTTGGAGTGTTGGCTTGTCAGAGCTGGTGGTGGGGTAGGATAGTGGTTGGAGTGTTGTCTTGTCTTGGGACAGTGGTTTTGTGTTTGTTAAAGACCAGAGGCCCAGATAAGCTGCGTATCCGGGTAAAATATGCATGGAAAATTTCCAACTACGCATTTAAAATGTTACATACGCAAAAAGTTTAGAACAAATGCGTACGGAATATATTTATAAAAATCGCTTTCGTGATGAAAAAGACATCGATTGCTATCAAGTTGTACTGATAGTATAGGACTAGTGTTGTACTGTCAGTATAGGATGAGTGATTTTTTTATGAAATCATTTCCATTATATTTATGTTGGTTTTGATTAGATATGACATAAGGCAGAACATACCTGCTTAGTAAACTTAATCAATGACATAATACTTAGGTGAGTAAAATGACTGAAATACGCACATATTTGAAAGCTGTGGGTAACGGAAAATGAAATACCCACTCAACATTCATAATACCCACTCAAAAAAAATACAGTGGGTACAGTACCCACATGAGCTAAATCTTATCTGGAGCTCTGAAGACTTTGCTGTGTATACTATTAATACCCTATGAGATATTTTTGTGTTTCAGGTGCGTGTGTCCTGTTTACCTGACAACTGATTTTGATGTTTTAGATGCTTGTGTCCTGTTTATGTGACAACTGATTTTGATGTTTCAGATGGCTCGAGTCTGCTGGTGGTTCTTTTTCTCCAAAATTATCGAACTTCTAGACACGGTATGTCTCTTCAGTTCTCATGTGCCGTATGTACCCTGGATTCTTCTAAGCATTGATAAGGATGTGTTCACCATGCTGTAACAACATGGCATGTTCAGGAGTGATGTTGCTTGATATATGCCAACTTGCACAAACTGAAATAGAAACCATTAAGAGAAATGCATCTTTTAATGTAAATATAATTAAATACTGGGTCTTCCAGTAAAGAGAATATCCAGGTTTTGTGCATGATTTCTTTCGTTAAATAAAGGAGCTGCAATTCACTGTGCAGAGTTGCCTCCCTTGGGCGTGTCAAAACCTATGATCTGGGTTCTATTCCTGGTTCACTATATTCTTGTTTCTTGGTTTGTCTGCATGTTCCCTTGCTCACTGGCTTCACTGAAGAGAGACCTGTACCACTTCATGCATACTCCCATAAGTAGGCTGACATATTGTGAGGTGAGGTGAAATTGGGTTTATCGTCGTGCTTGAGAATATTTCGCTCATATGACGACGTGCATGCGTGTGTATGTGTATGTGCGGCTGCTTGTACTAGCCCAGACTGAAGCTGGTTTTATAGTGCTAGCCCACTGAGATACCATGCCGCAGTGAAGCATGAATACCCCACTCAGACACATTATACTGACTCCGAGCCGACCAGTCCTTGTTGTACCCATTAATGCCGAGCGCCTGGCAGGGACCAACAAGTACCATATTTTAACGTCTTTTGGTATGACGCAGTCGGGGATCGAACCCGTGACCTTTCGCTCTCCGGGCGGACGCTCTAACCACTACACCACGGAGGCGGTTCTGACATATTGTAATGTAACTGGAATACTTTCAGAGGTACAGATAAGCTGCATATCTGCGTAAATTACGCAAATATTTATGCAAAAACTCAAATCCTATTAAGTCTGTTGCACACAAGTACGCTTGAATTTTTGTGAATACGCAATAAATCTGATCCTACATGCGTATCGGTGGATAGATAAAATAATTGAGGTATATTGAGAGGTTCTATTTCAGGACATGAACTTAGCAGCTTGCAGCTTTTCTTATCGTTTCTCATATTACAGATCAAATGTTATTAACAATCACCAACATTTAGACTTTATTATTTTTTACAATTAAAGGAAATGGCAAAATACCCAACTGAGTTTGAGTGAGGTGGGTACAATGTATTTGGTTATTCCAAGGAAAATTAGAATACCCAATTGAGATGATTGACTGACTGACTGACTGAGTTTAGTTTTACGCCGCTTTTAGCAATATTCCAGCAATATCACGGCGGGGGACACCAGAAATGGGCTTAACACATTGTGCCCATGTGGGAATTCGAACCTGGGTCTTCGGCGTGACGAGCCAACGCTTTAACCACTAGGCTACCCCACCGCCCCCAATTGAGATGAAGACAAGCGAGTACATAACTCAATGACCCAAAAAGTTATCTGTAGCTGTGTACTTTCCTAAGTGGCCTTGAACACAACTCACTCACTCTTTTGTTTAAATCAGACTGTCTGATTCAAGGTGGTAAAGAAAAAAGTGAAATTGTTTTCTGTAGCTTACATCTGACTGGATGCATTGTAAACACTCAAACATAGCTCAGTGAGTTGTCATAGTAACTGTTCCAGGACATGAATACACAATGACATTTAGTAAGTGGTCAAACAGATGTTACACTTTCTCAGTAAAGTACAAATTCTAGTACTAGTTAGGTTGAGCCTCTTCCGGGATTCGAACCCACACTCTCAGAGTAAAGCACCTAGTCGCCAGCACACAAAGTCAGCCGTCTAACCCACTCATACATACATGCATGCATGCATGCATGCATGCATACATACATACATACATACATACATACATACATGCATGCATGCATGCATGCATACATACATACATACATGCATACATGCATACATGCAAACATGCATACATACATACATACATGCATACATACATACATACATACATACATACATACATATCATACATGCATGCATGCATGCATGCATGCATACATACATACATACATACATACATACATACATACATACATACATACATACATACATACAAAAAATGTAAATTTTGTTTTCTTGTTTTACTTTGAAATGTTGTTGATAACGTTCATAGTATTCTGAATATACAAAAAACATAAATTACGCAAGCTTAACGATGTTTCATTTTTCAAATTTTACCATTTTTATTCGAAATTTCAAGAAATTGCTTCACTACCGTTACGAAATTTGTAATGTCATTTTGAAAAGAAAAATCCAAAGATGATATTTATTTAATGTACATATATATTAAACTATCTAGTTTTACAATATAACATGGCTAATGAGTTTTGAAATTTAATATTCATTGCTTGTGAGGGGCCAAAAAGCCACAAAAATTCTTTCATTTCTGATTTGGAAATGTAGAGTAATATGCAGCGAAAAATTCAAAATGAGAATATGAATTATATTATGCTTACTTGAGGTGAGGTGAGGTGAAATTGGGTTTAGCGTCGTGCTGGAGAATATTTCGCTCATATGACGATGTGCATGCGTGTGTATGTGTATGTGCGGCTGCTTGTACTAGCCAAGACTGAAGCTGGTTTTATAGTGCTAGCCCACTGAGATACCATACCGCAGTGAAGCATGAATACCCCACTCAGACACATTATACTGACTCAGAGTCAACCAGTCCTTGTTGTACCCATTAATGCCGAACGCCAGACAGGGACCAACAAGTACCATATTTGAACGTCTTTTGGTATGACGTGGTCGGGGATCGAACCCGTGACCTTCCGCTCTATGCTTACTTGAAGCTCTACTACCAAACATAGTTGCACTACAAATTCCAGACATAAACAGATAAATCAATTTTAATTAAATAAGGAAAATGATATTGTTATATATAATATATTGATATTGGAATTAATTGCTACGGTAGTGACACAATGTACGGTAGTGACATTTTTAATAATAGCCAGTTTTAAAAGTTTACTTTAAAAGATAATTTGATGAAATTTGTTAATCAGATATTTAAGAATGTTTAAAGAATATGTAATAGGCAAAAGATTTACTTATGGATGTCCCTGTCATGTAAAAAACAGGTAAAGACAGCATGTTACGGCAGTGACATTGTGACAGTATGTAATATCACTACTGTAACGGCCCTATCACAGCCATTTTCTTCTTTGTCACAGCCGTTACACTTCCCTGTCCTTACCGTAACAAAAAAATCATACTTATATGCTTATTGATCTTATTCATTTGATACAAATTTTTTATGTTAAATAAGATTCCAAAACATTTGAAATCTTTAAACTGAAAATTTAGATACAAACAACATTAAACTAGAAAAATGTCACTGCCGTCACAAAATCTGTCCTTACCGTAACAAAACCTATGATAATGGCAGTGAGCGTAACGGTAGTGACAGCACTAATAATATCAGTTTTAAAACAATAACTGGTCCCCAAAGTTTACTGAGCACATGGTTTCAAATAATTTCCCCTACTGTCTAAGGTACTGGGCATTGTTTGGCTTCACAAAATTAATTGGTTTCAGCGGTAACCACCGTAATGGTTAGGACATACAAAAATCTCAGATATCATTTTGTGCACACGTTTTTAACGATAAAATTCAGAAAAATGTGTTTTTTGTGTGTCAGTGTTTGACTGTCATGTTTCCTCACTGCCATCGCTTGCAAACATGAAGTAGAATTAGAAGATAGTACAGGGAGTAGTCATTATTGCAATATTTTGGATGATGTTACGGTAGTGACATCAAACCTTGTGACAAAGTTTGACCTTTTTTTTACAAAATGATTTTCCATACAAAAAAGGCCAAACCACGCCAAGCATGTAGCTGTAACATCATTAATTATGATATGTTAAAAAACTTCCTTTGGAAAACATGTAAAAGACAAAAAAATCGAATTGCACATCGGACGCTGGAGTTGTGACACATGAAAATTGAGTAATATTGGGTGGTTTGGGGGTTCAAAATAAATATAAAAATGTTTTTTCCCCAATTTTGTTACTGTAAAGTGTAGAATAAACTGAAATAAATTAGTTACCGTAAAAATCTTTTATATTTTGACTTAAGTTTGTCTGGTACATGACATAAATATGCACGAATTTTGAGAATGACTCATACCTACCTACCTACCTACCTACCTACCTACCTACCTACCTACCTACCTACCTACCTACCTACCTACCTACCTACCTACCTACCTACCTACCTACCTACCTACCTACCCACCTACCTACACCTACCTACCTACCTACCTACCAACCTACCTACCTATCTACCTACACCTACCTACCTACCTACCTACCTACCTACCTACCTACCAACCTACCTACCTACCTATCTACCTACACCTACCTACCTACCTACACCTACCTACCTAACTACCTACCTACCTACCTACCAAAAAGTATCAGGGTCACTGAAATAAATGAATACATATTCAATACAAACATTTCAATAAATTAACTGTTTCTGATTAGCTGGTAATGTCTACCATGTATTTTGGCATACTATTATAATACACAGAAATTTTGTTATGGCGATTCTCACAGGAGAGTTTTCTCGATCATAAGGTCAAGGTCATTATTTGATCTTAAAATATAAGTTTTTCCACCTCGCATCTTATATGTTTTCCTGTATGTTTATTTGTTTTGTATTATAACATCCCTTTGGTCATTTACTGTTGTCTCGAATAAGTCCCTGGAGTAAGTTCCTTCCTGCCAAAGAGAGTTAGGATCAAAATAGGTTCCCAGCAACTCTTACGAGATTACCGTATGGAATGGGTCGTCAGCTGTGTGACTTGCCTGAATGTGTGTCTTGGTACACCGTTCTCTTGGATCATTGCTCCAAATTTAATTATTTACAGACCGCCTTCTTGTAGCAGGAATATTTCCGAGTTTGACGTTAAACAATAAAAACAGACATTACAGTAAGTCTTTGGTGGGTAGAGACCTACTGACATCTGAGGTGTTTAGATTACGTTGTGAAAAGGTGTCGGGGAAATATTATATTGCCTCAGACAATGAAGCCTTAGAACTGTGTCTGGTTTGCCAGACACCTAATTGGGTTTGGTTAGTCTTCAGGGAATCAGTACCAAATACTGACAATGAAGCCCTGCAGGTTTGGCTGCTGTGATATAGACACTGCTTGGTGTTAACACGAGACTGATGACTTGTGCAACACTGAGACAATGTTCTATTTGTAATAACGGCAATAACTTGTTGTTTGTATTTGTGTTTTCTAATGCCTCTAGGGCTGCGCAATATAACCGGTTTACCGGTATGTACCGGTTCAAACATGAACACGATACGTATTGCGATACGCTGATCGAAAACCGGTATTTTGAGTTGCATTTGGAAAACTTCGTACCACTCGGAAATGTTCGAATATGTCCTTGTTTCATTTGTGCCAAATATTATTCACATTTTTATTTTATCATGATTAAAAGTTGTTATTAAAGCTTAATCAAGCCTAGTGGTTTTGTACTGTTTTTGCTCTATAAATCAAGAAGTAACTTGATTATAGGTAGTTTTTGTTTAAAAATACTTCATGCAATATATTGCAATACATATCGAAATACATGCTTTCGCATCGCAATATATCGCAATATGAAAATTCTCTGCAATACCCACCCATAAATGCCTCACTACACAATATTCTACCTTTATGACGACAGTCCGTAGATAATTCAGTAAGGACCAGATCATCCAGTGTTTTTTTTTAAAACATATTTTATTGTATTAAAATACAAAGGGATTGGGGACAAGTGCACCAGTTGTTATCACCTGCTCCATATAGATCACTGAGATTGATAATCATTTGCTGAATATTGATCTATTGGCGATATATATTGGAGAAGTAATTTTGAGTATCCAGGGATTTACAGGATGCGAATTCCTGCGTCCTATACGCATAAAAATTGACAATGGATGCAACAAAATTTATTAGCGCATCCACAGGGACGCAGAAAAAGTCCAAATACTTTTTGTAAAAATTCCAATCAAGTAACCATAAGTTATCACTGAGCTTGCTACTAGCTGGGTTATGGTATTATTTGCAATTTAATTACTGTAACAATGTGATGATCATGGTACACAATACAGTAACGGTATTAAATAATATTTAAGTGTCTGGGACCCCATTTTGTTGTCCAGGACCCCTGAAAATTAAGAGTATGAGTCCCAGGGTCCCTCAAATACAAGAAGACCCCAGGTAAATCCCAGAGTATCTAAAAATCTGAAAAAAAATCATATTTGACATCACTACAGTCCGTTTGAGTCAGAAACGGACCGATGAATTGGAAATTTTATCATTGTACAAAATTGCCACATAAATATAAATAGTACACATGTTTATCATTTACTAATACCCAACAGCTTTCTTATATTTGAAAGTTTTCCGGACTCCACCAAAAAGTTCTTTAAGAAACTATCATTAAAAGTTTGACACAGTTCACTAATTGTTATGAGGGGAGGAGTGCAGAGAAAGGGACAACCAGGTGTGCGAGAAGCACGTGCACAAGTGCCCACCAAGTTATTGATTCATTAGCCTGTGCTGTGCCGTCTCCATCCTTTCTCGCACACCTGGCTGTCCCTTTCTCTGCACTCCTCCCTCGTAACAAATAGTGAACAATGATAAAATTTCCAATTCATCGGTCCGTTTCTGACTCAAACGGACTGTAGTGAGTAGTGACATATTTAGGCTGGAATTACCAACAAAACAATGTCCGAGCTTAATTTGGAAGTAGACCATGAATAAAGACCTATCTTCGTGTGTTGTCTGAGTAAATTAAAATGTTTTTTCATTGCAATGGTTTATGTACATTATTTTCATATCGATAATTATTAATGATATTTCCCATCAACAATATATCTGAATATTGATTTTTTTTTGCCAGCTCTAATGATTCTGCGTATGATCATATTCATAAGCATGTGTTAAACACTATCACAATGTGATGAGCGAGTGAGTGAGTGAGTTGGGTTTTACGCCACTTTTAGCAATATTCCAGCAATATCACAGCGGTGGACACCAGAAATGGGCTTCACACATTGTGCCCATGTGGAGAATCGAACCCGGGTCTTCGGCGTGACAAGCGAACGCTTTAACCACAATGTGATCAGGGGTGGTGAGGTAGCCTAATGGTTAAAGCGAACGCTCATCACGCTTAAGACCAGGTTCGATTCCCCACATGGGTACAATGCAGTGTTTGCCATGACGCAGAAAATTTGACCCACAAATCTTCTCAAATATGCAGTGAATTCAGAAGCTTGCGTCATTGTTGACGCAATGCTACTGGGCCATTTGTTCAGTTAATCCAAACTTCTAAAACTAAATGTTTGCCAGTTAACTGCTCAATGCTGATTAAATATCTGACTTGCCTCACCTTGTTTTTTGTGGTTATTAAACAATCACAGTTGATGTCTTGATGAAAGTTCCAAACTGAAGTTGACTCCAAAAAACCATGTCCATGACTCCCTCTCATGACACCAGGGAGTCATGACACCAGGGAGTCCTGATGACTCCTACATTTGTATGCCCAGGGCAAACACTGACAATGTGCGAGGCCCATTTCTGTTGTCCCCCGCTGTGATATTGCTGGAATATTGCTAAAATATTGCTAAAAGTGGCATAAAACCATACTCACTCACTCACTCACTCACTCACAATGTGATAAGCTAAAAAACAATAGTGAACTGTGTGAGTTATTTTGTCACAGATGTGTCTACTTTGGAAATGTCCCCCACAAGTTTACCACAACTTGTTTGGAAAGCCATGAATATTGTAATCCTGACAAGCAAGAGAGTTGTGACGCTCTATGTAAATATAGCAAGAATATACTAGATTGTATCGCAAGAGCTGTGAAATGTGGAGACAAAAGACTGAGGCTTCTGCCGTACTGCTGATGTTAAACTGGCTGAAAGAAATCATCTCTCTTCTCATGACAACAGTCATGTTGATTTTTTTGTCCCTCTGAATCCTTTTGCATATATAAAATTATTAACCCTGTAAGGCGGTTTCATTGGTCCCAAATATCAGCTCATCCATATATACCTGAAGCTTGACTTAAATTTCTTGTCGGAATTCCCTTGGTTTCATTTTACCGGTCTTATCAGTAATTCTGTCTCGTATGCAAAAAAAACAGATCAACAAGGTAGTGTGCACATTTGGTGCCCATGGGGACGCCAATGTCTGGACGATATGTTCCGTCCTTCGGTTTTGTCTACAGGCAGATTAATGATAACGTTCTTGACATTTTGTGTTGAAGGTATTCTTCATCTTACGAAAGAAGAATGATCAGGTGACCTTTCTCCACGTCTACCATCACTGTTCCATGATCGCCAACTGGTGGCTGGGGGTCAAGTACATCGCCGGCGGACAGTGTGAGTAGTGACTGATATCACGGGAATCATGTCCATTTTGGAACTGACCGTTCAACGTGGTTGAGGTTTACTCTGTCTCCGAGTCCCTGAACCACATTATTTTCCCCTCCACCCAGCCCTTTCTGCAGTGCTAAATCTGAAAGAAGCAAGTCTGGATTCCCCCCAGGTTCTGAATCTCTCATCTCACTGCGGTTCCTTTTCATTTTAAATGGAATCAGTTGTCACTATGTAAATTATGTATACTACACATCAAAAGTTTAGACTCACTAGTGTAAATGTAGCCGGGTGGTGGGCTAGCCTAGGGGTTAAAGCGTTGGCTCGTCACGCCGAAGACCCGGGTTCAAATCCCCACATTTCTGGTGTCCCTCGCCGTGATGTTGCTGGAATATTGCTAAAAGCGGCGTAAAACCAAACTCAGTCAGTCAGTAAATGTAGCCACCTACTTCAGTCAATTGTTCTAAACTAGATTTTGCAAAATATTCAATATTGTTTGAAGGTGTGTTTACACATGAATGTATTGTAAAACGAATTCGTAACGTTGAAAAAGATTATTGTCATGAGAGCATTAAATGACAAAACTCAGTGAAAAATGGCGAATTCTTTACAAAACTTCACACCAAAACGCAGCTGTTCACATGCGCGATATTTGCACATGCTTTTCAGCAATTTGATGCATGATCCTCGTGCAGTTCATCAGCATAAATGTTGCAGTTGGTTCCCCCAAGTTAGGGGACAAATTCATCTTCGATGTTACCATATATATATAGATAACATATACATAGTGAATGCTTTAGGTGAGTCTAAACTTTTGATGGGTGGTATATATTCAGAGACTAAGCATTAGTCTAGGGCGGGGTTGTGTGGGAGTGGTTGTGGGGGTTGATGTGTGGGTGTTTATGTGGTGTGGGAGGTGCAATACCTTAACGTTTTTTATGTTTTTCATGAAAAAGAAAATACTGTATATTACCATACATAAGCCGACCCCCTAACTTGACCCTTAAAATCAGTGTCAAAATAGTATGTTTCGTACATAAGCCGACCCCCTGCGATTGGGGTCCTAATAGCGGCCAACTCAGACCACAAGACGAGCGTCAGTCAAAAGTATGTTTGGTGAGAATAGTATCTAAAAAAGATTTTACTGACCCATAAAGTGGAAATCTGTGTTTGTTTTATTTTTAATATAAGGATAAATTTGGCTTATCTACAGCAATGTACGATACTTGAAAAACATTTGCCTCAGGTTTTACATAAATTTATTGATTTGATAACATAGTTATGATTCCCCAGTATTACTGCACATTCCTTCAAAATGATAGTTTTCTAGGTCAGTGGTCATTGACACCATTTCAAGGACACTTCTGATATTTTGAGGGGCGGTGGGGTAGCCTAGTGGTTAAAGCGTTGGCTCGTCACGCCGAAGACCCGGGTTCGAATCCCCACATGGGTACAATGTGTGAAGCCCATTTCTGGTGTCCCCCGCCGTGATGTTGCTGGAATATTGCTAAAAGCGGCGTAAAACCAAACTCAGACAATCAGTCAGTCTGATATTTTGGAAATTGAGATTAACATCAATTCGTGAGAAGCAACCAATGTGAGAGGACACAGGCTCTTATGATCACTTGTTAATAACCTGTCTTATAATTAAGAAATAACCTGTCTTATAATTAAGAAATAACCTGTCTTATAATTAAGAGATAACCCGTCTTATAATTAAGAAATAACGTGTCTCATAATTAAGAGATAACCTGTCTTATAATTAAGAAATAACGTGTCTCATAATTAAGAAATAACCTGCCTTATAATTAAGAAATAACCTGTCTTATAATTAAGAAATAACGTGTCTCATAATTAAGAGATAACCCGTCTTATAATTAAGAAATAACGTGTCTCATAATTAAGAGATAACCTGTCTTATAATTAAGAAATAACGTGTCTCATAATTAAGAAATAACCTGCCTTATAATTAAGAAATAACCTGTCTCATAATTAAGAAATAACCTGTCTTATAATTAAGAGATAACCCGTCTTATAATTAAGAAATAACGTGTCTCATAATTAAGAGATAACCTGTCTTATAATTAAGAAATAACGTGTCTCATAATTAAGAAATAACCTGCCTTATAATTAAGAGATAACCTGTCTTATAATTAAGAAATAACCTGTCTTATAATTAAGAGATAACCTGTCTTATAATTAAGAAATAATGTGTCTCATAATTAAGAGATAACCTGTCTTATAATTAAGAAATAACGTGTCTCATAATTAAGAAATAACCTGCCTTATAATTAAGAAATAACCTGTCTTATAATTAAGAGATAACCTGTAATGCAGCTAGCCCATGTTTACAATTTTGACTAAATGATTAGCAACATAAAACTTCCCATATAAAACATAAAAGGTAATTCAAAGTTAAAAAAAATAATGGTAATTCAAATATTTAGTAGGTGTCAGTACTAAAGGGATACATAATGTCAACACTCACCTTATTCTAGACCTCTTAATGTCAGTGAAGGCAGTTCACTGCTACATTGCTTTTTCATGCACTGTGACTTAAAACTAAATAGCAGTTATCTCCCTTTGATTAATAATTTTTTTAAGGAGAAAAACAAATTAATTTGATGAAAAGAAATGAATTCTGAATTGATCTTTCGATTCTGACTGAAATAAAACTAATAAAAATTAATTTGATGAAAAGAGAATTTTGAATTAAAGTTTCGATTCTAGACTGAAAGAAGAGTAATAAACTACATTGTACCGAAAGTGAGAAAATGATCCTTTTGGCGATTGAACTTGATGTCCTTTTGCTTGCAGCCTTCTTTGTAGCGATGCTCAACTCGGGCGTACATATCGTCATGTACCTGTACTACGCGCTGTCTTGCCTGGGCCCACACATGCAGAAGTACCTATGGTGGAAGAAATACCTCACTCGCCTTCAGCTGGTAAGTCCTGACTCGTCTGTCTCATTAAAACCAGATTATCTTGTCCAGACTCATTTATTCATAGGTGAGGTGAGGTGAAATTGGGTTTTACGTCGTGCTTGAGAATATTTCGCTCATATGACGACGTGCATGCGTGTGTGTGTGTATGTGCGGCTGCTTGTACTAGCCCAGACTTAAGCTGGTTTTATAGTGCTAGCCCACTGAGATACCATGCCGCAGTGAAACATGAATACCCCACTCAGACACATTATACTGACTCCGAGCCGACCAGTCCTTGTTGTACCCATTAATGCCGAGCGCCAGGCAGGGACCAACAAGTACCATATTTTAAAATCTTTTGGAATGATGCGGACGGGGATCAAACCCGCCACTTCCGCTCTCCGGGCGGATGCTCTAACCACTACACCACGGAGGCGGTCTAAAGAACAAAGAAAGAAGAAGAAGAAACATTGCAATCCTTTTACATTTCTTGCCATTTCCACTGTATGACACAGAGTTTGCCAATCTAATACATGAAAGTAAGGTACACAGTTATGTCCCTTGGGCATGCCAGACACCTATGGTCTGGGTTTGATTCCTGGTTTGCCCACATTATGTTTCTTGGTTTGTCTGCACCATGGGTGATCATGGGTTTCACCTAAACAGTTTATGTCTGAACTTGCATTACTTTATGCTTTCCTCTCATAGTATACTGACTTTATTTGATATGTCTGGAATAACTTACTCATTCATGTGACCCGTGACGATCCGGGTTAGAACTGATCTTCAGTAACCCATGCTTGTCGTAAGAGGCGACTAACGGGATCGGGTGGTCAGGCTCGCTGACTTGGTTGACACATGTCATCATATCACAATTGCGTAGATTGATGCTCATGCTGTTGATCACTGGATTGTCTGGTCCAGACTTGGGCCACATTCCACAAACCGATCGTAGCGCTAAGGTGATCGTAACTCTGAGACTTATACATAGACTTATGACAGTCGTAGCGCTATGATCGCTTTGAGGAACAGGGACTTGGTTACTTACAGACTGCTGCCATACACAGGGGCTTGTAACGCTAAAAACTGCCATCAAGGCATATACTGTCACTGACGGGGTCTTAGTACTATATAAAAGGAAATTTTTAGCCAATAAGCTCCCTTGCTCTTTTCAGTGCGGGGCAGGTTAAGGCAAGGTCGTCAATGGCGAACGGACACGACACAATTCTGTTTGCGATGAATAAATGTACGTAAACTCATTATGACAGTGAGATGTAAGTGTCTCCGAAAGAATGGCGACTAGCGCGATGACAGGCGCCATCAGTTCAACATGTTTTGGTGCATGTCGTTTGTGTATACTGTGAAATAAACCAGAAAATGGATGAGTTACCGCTACAAATTCTGAGCAGGGATTTTGGCCCGGAATCGAGAAATCACGATTTTTCGAGCTTCCGAAGACCCAAGCTCCCAAAGTACTGCATCTGTTGTGCTATATGTCTCATTATGTAGGTAAATCTATTGGCTTGTAATGTGTGCATACTTTAAATGGGATAAATACAGTGAGTATTGTTGAATTCGCCTGAAACGAACCTGGTGTGCTGACCTCGTTACATCCCTTTCCTTTTATATAGTACTAAGACCCCGTCAGTGACAATATATACCTTGATGGCAGTTTTTAGCGTTACGAGCACCTGGGGTCCTATATAGCTGGAATATTGCTGAGTTTGACATAAAACTAAACCCACTCACACACTCACATTTACTCATGTTTGGGAGTCAAAAACATGAACTCTGGTGACCTTAAGCACACTTTGCTTGTCGTCCAGGAAGTTTACTGATGTCATGAGACTGCACATGCACATTGATGCTCAGGAACATATAGAATGTCATAGATGAGGAATATAATATTATCAGAATGAAACCATAAACTGCAATTTACAAATCACTGTTGCTCAATTAATTTTGAATCTTTTGCATACAATGTATGAATTTTTAAGAAAAGACTAGTAGTGTGTACAAAGCACATTTATCCAGTATCAACTTATGTTTGTATGGTGTGTTGGTTGTTTCATTTCATTTGAGAGATTTATGTACACTGATAAAATGCATGAACATTCAAGAACATACATCAACACTATACTAAAGACAATATGGTACCCAACAGAAAACTGTCAGTGAGTGAGTTTAGTTTTACGCCGCACTCAGCAATATTCCAGCTATATGGCGGCGGTCTGTAAATAATTGAGTCTGGACCAGACAATCCAGTGATCAACAGCATGAGCATCGATCTGCGCAATTGGGAACCGATGAAGAAAACTGTCAGTCTCCAATGTGAATAACTTGTGAGTATCACTGATATGAACATGATCTTTCAATATATACTCTTAAAAAAAAGAAACTCGACATGGTGTTTTGGAGTTTACTTACTGAGTGCATGTAACTGATTCAAACTTGACATCATTGCTCAGTTACAGTAAAATCATCACTTTACAAATGTATGATCAAGAGTATCCCATAGATGTTCAATGGGGGACAAATCAGGTGATCGAGAAGGCCAAGGTAACAACTGAACATTGCCTGAGGAAGACCTGTCAAACACGTGCAGCGTGAGGTCGAGCATTGTCATGCTCCAAAGATCAACCGTTGACGTTTATGTAGGGAATGACGTGACGTTGAACTGGTCTTCTGTCAAAAAGTCTGGCTTTCCATAGCCAATTGCACCTTGTCTGGTCGGAGATTCGGCGCAGTCCAGGGATTTGGATTGTTGTGGATGATGCTACCGTGGTGTTTGAACGAAAATGGCTCAATCGGATGTAGCGATCCTGGGCGGCGGTGGTAACTCCAGGTCGACCTGACCTGGGTCTGTCATTAACACCCCCAGTATTTTGGTATCGGGGTCCATAGGTTTGAGATGGTCTGTCTGGACACGCTGAAGTGCCTTGCCACATCATGCTGCGACGTCCGTCCTTGTAAACGGCCGATGGCGTTGTGTCGTTGAGCTTCTGTCAGTCTTTTCATTCTCTTGTCTATAGTGGCTGAAAGGAATGTATGTGGGGTATCATTGATGTGGCTTTTTAAAGTCATAGGCTTCAGCTCAGGGAGATACACAATTTCATGATGCTCCTGCATTTCATGTAAGGTGTGTTTTAGCGATTCACTATAGACGTGAGTGTAACATTACGTTTTTGTTACATGTTTCTTTTTTCAAATGTTTTGTCGTCGGCAACCGTTCCCCCACATGCTGGGATTCAGCATGGATTGGTTTGTGTCAAATATTTTCCTAAAATTCAAATTTGTCCTATGTCAAGTTTCTTTTTTTGAAGAGTATATATATATATACAGAAAATGTCAACACAAGAGAATGATCAGTCTGTTTTTATGCCAGAATAAATTCAACTGGGCGATAAAGTTAATAGACAATGACATTTAGAAAGTGATCAAATGTAACAAGGAAAGTGTACTCCCAAATAAAACATGTTACATTGGAGGTTAAGGGTAAAATAATGGCGATGGTTACATGAGTACCTCACTGAAAATCAGTGACACCAGGTTTTTATGAAAAGGGCAACCATATCCGCTTAACCAGTAGAACCAGCCACTTAAATGACTCATTAAAAATATGACTAGAATACCAAATGCATAGAATTCTTGCAACCTGTAAACCCCAGTTTCAACACTTTGAAATTCCAGTTACGATATTGTGCTTCTTCAAAGCTCATCCACAACAAAAGTGAGAAAATTGAACTCTCTCAACCAAGTAGGTTTCACTGCAACTTAATTAAACCGGTTTCTTTAAATATTCTTATTGTTATACTCATGGTGGATTTCTTTGTCTGTTTATTGTGGGGTTTTGAAGAACTTTTCGTTCTCCTAACAATGGGCAGTAATTATGTGTCTGAGCAGACTCGAGTCATTAAGATCACTTTGTGGCGGGTATATTAAGATTTAATCAAGCAGACAAATCTGTTGTGTTGCCCTGACCAGAAAAAGCTCCCTTGCTGAGCTCGTAACTAACCACATATATCAATCACCTTGGTTTTCTCTTCAGGTTGTTCTAACGTCAAAATTGTCGAGACATAATTATCAGGTACAGAGTGATTCATTTCAGAAGCTACTGTTGGCTTGGACAAAGCCAGTAGGAATCATTAGGGACAATTTAGAGTAAAGTTTATTTTCAGAATTTGCGTGCAAGGTTGTAAAGATGAAATAATATCACAGGCTTTGTCTTGACCTAAAAAATAACCTTGGGTTCAGAGGACCTCTAATGACTAATTTCAAGTGTTCTTACACGATTTATGTTGGTCTTGTAAAGTTCTGGAATTGTTAAGTGTAATTGATATTTACTTTGATTTCATGAAGTCTATATTTCTAACACATGTTATATTTGGGATAACACTTTCTCAGTAAAGTACGGATTCTGGTACTTTTGTTTTTGCTTTCTAAATGGCCTTGTGAATTTTCATCACTTTCGGCCGTGCCAATTTACACTTATCAGAGGGGTACATAAAGTCCGGACCGCCTCCGTGGTGTAGTGGTTAGAGCGTCTGCCTGGAGAGTGGAAGGTCGCGGGTTCGACCCCTGACCGCGTCATACCAAAAGACGTTAAAATATGGTACTTGTTGGTCCCTGCCTGGCTCTCGGCATTAATGGGTACAACAAGCACTGGTCGGCTCGGAGTCAGTATAATGTGTCTGAGTGGGGTATTGATGCTTCACTGTGGTATGGTATCTCAGTTTGCTAGCACTATAACACCAGCTTAAGTCTGGGCTAGTACAAGCAGCTGCACATACACATACACACGCATGCACGTCGTCATATGAGCGAAATATTCTCAAGCACGACATTAAACCCAATTTCACCTCACCTCACATAAAGTCCATGGTCTAGACTACCAGTTGTCCGACATTTGTGGAAGCTGAGTGGGTTAGGCGGCTGACTTTGTGTGCTGACAATTAGGTGCCTGACTCAGAGGGTGTGGGTTCGAGTCCCAGATGGGACTCAACCCAACATTAGTACTAGAA